TGGATCATGGAGTCGCCGTGAGGAGTCGCCGTGAGGGGTACGTACTTGTACCTTTGCAAAGGAGCCGCTTCAAGCGCCGGCATTGTCAGGGAGACGAGAGCGCGTCCTGGGTCCAAAGTCACGAGAGGAGACGGTCGAGGGGGTGACTTGATGGAAAGCGATACCGGTGATGCTGAGTCGAGTTGATGCACCGCCTACCGCCGAGATGAATGGGCAAAACAGCTAGTTCAAGGCCAAAGATGAGCTGAAGAAGATCAGACGGGTGTTATTTCGATGCCATCTAGAAGGGTCGGGGCAGATGGCGGAGGATGAAGAGGCCATATTAGGCCGAGAACAAGCCACGAATGCGGTAACGAAGAAGGGACCAAGAATAACTAGACGGTGTTATTAGCCGCCGAGAGCGAATGGGGGGGGGAGAAAAGAAAAAAGGGCAGTTTGAGCGCCTCACAGGATTGGAGAGGCTTGAGTGGACGAGATGGAGCGGGCAGGCAGGGGAGCCAAAATTAGCCCACTAGAGGGGACGGGGATTGATGCGGGGGAGGGGCTAATTGGCCGCCTGCCTGTCCGTCCACAGCCCTACTAGTACTGTGCAGAATAGGTACATACCTACGCCCGTACCTACCTAGGCAAGCTACTGTAGGGAGTAATACCGGTACTGTACATGCGATTACGGTGGGTGACGTGGAGACGGAGAGGACAACGATGTCGACAGCAAGGAGGAGGAACAGGAACCTTTGAGGGGCATCATGATGGAATGCCATGTAATTACTGTCCCGTTTCCTGGACGGAGCATAGCATCGCGTCCCACGTGTACTTTTGCCATTTACCGTGGCACGGGGAATGGATGCGCTCGCCAGAGCTGGTCTCCGCTAACCGCCGTAATACCGGTAGACGGAAGAGAGAAGAATGGCGCCCAGAGAGAAACAAGAGAGGAACAAGGGACTTTGTGAGGCCCCATGATCCTTGCATGGCGCTAATGGCCGGTCGGTCCCGCGGCCCCTGCCGGTCTTCTGCGGCCTCGTCACATGCAGCGGCCAACCAGAACTGGCGGACAGGGGTTTGCTCGATGGCGCCACTGCAAGCCCCGTGTTTTCTTCTTTTTCCATCGGGCGCTGTGATGATCCACAAAGTTCTCCGTATTGTACTGTACTGTACTGTACTGTACTGTACATACCATGCCCGTCTTGGCTTTGTTTGCTCTCTGGGTTGTAACTCAACTTACCTATTCTCGAGGCACTTGTTGGAGTCTCTCTCTCCTCGTCGTCCATGCCCACCTCCTCACCTTTGCCCTCTCCATCTACGGTGCTACGGATACAGTATGTAATTATGTATCATCTCTCCCGCTTCAACGACAGCCGAGAAGCGACAATCCACTTTAGGCATCCCGCTTTAGGCATCCGTCGCGGCTCGCTCTCACGCCGTCTTCCGCAACCGCCGCCGGCCCCTGTTGCCGCCCTTGTGTCACGACACAGGCACCGCGGCGGCCAAGCGCAGCCAGCGTTGCACGGCATGTTGCCCGTTGGCCGCGCGCGTGCGTCGGCTCTGGCTGCTGCTGCTCCCCGGGCCACGTTTTTCCTTCCAAGGCGGGCGGCTGTCGACGTCGGCCAACAACCAACCATTGAGCCCGCCCAGCCGAGCTTGTTCTTCACCTCTTCTTTTTTCCCTCACGCCTTGGCGAACGCCCTTGGCGCCGCCATTTGTGTTGCCGCCGCCGCCGCCGCCGCCGACCCCTCGTCACTCCCATTCCGCCGCGTGTGCGTGCGTATGTGTATGTGTGTGTGTGTATGTGTGTATATGTGTGTGTGTGTGTATGTGTGTATGTGTGTGTGTGTGTGCGTGTGTGCGTGTGTGCGTGAGACGGCACAGGCGAGGCCTTACACGCCATATCCGTCCTGCCTCGGTATACTTCGTGCTGCACAGGTGCCTCTCTCTGCCCTTTGCGTGCAATATCAAGCCATGAACCCCCAGCACATATTACTGGGCCCTCCCCAAACGTCGGCGAGAAAAGAGGCACGCATGCTCGTGTCACTCCGTGCCCAGTTCACAGGTGCCTTCACGCCTCCAAATCAGCTCGGGTGGGAAGTACATATGGCAGAACAGCACCTACCACTGGCCCTATATGCATGCACCCACGCTCTTTGCTCTGCAGTGCGATACGAACACTGCGCGAGCCAAGGTACGGGGCATCACAGCATCGTCATCAAACGACTTTCGGCGTGGCTTGTCCCAAAGCATCCCCGTTGGGTGCTACCGATGGGTTGAAGAATCCTACCGTGTGCCTGGCCTGGTCTGAAGTGTCCAAGACACTATTTACAAAATAATGAACCCACCCATCCATCCATCCGCGTGCAAGGTGCTCTAATGTGATATCTTGGAGTTAGACATGTCAAGTAAAGCATACCTAATACCCGAGCCGAGACGCCAATGCCCGACTGTACTCGATACTTGGTAGCATGGATGCTGCGTGCTTCTTGCTGCGTGCTTCTCTCACCTCACCCCTCCTCTCACCTTTTTTTCCCGCACCGAGACACTCAAAAAGATCCCGGCAGCGACAGCCAAAAGATGGCGCCCATTCGTCTTGCCGGAAGGCTGTGCCTCCGATTCCCAACCCTTTCTCTTGCCCGTCTCCACTGTCGGGTGAGATGCTTCCCGCCAACCACCCAACTGCAGCGCCGTCTCTTGGACCGACCCGGCACGTGCCCTGCCCATGCCTCATATACTGCAGCACGAAGCATGTCGTGCCATGATGATGGTCTTGGAACCAGCCTCCTCTTGTCTCCTCTCGTCGTGTCTTTGACCCTTCTATATGCAAACACACACACACACACACACACACACACACACACACACACAAACACCGTGTCTGCAATCGACAACGACAAATGCCCCCCGCCGAGTGACATCGTCTGAGGCCAAAAGCGTCATGCACCCACGTGCCATCCACGGAGAATCGAGTGGTGACATTGTGCGGCGTATCCGTAGGGAGGGAGAGCACGAGGAGGGGTGGGGGAGCACGACGGCATGGGATGTGGCCTTTACCAAAACCAGGGCCGCGCTCGTTTTTCATCCCGTCTGGACATGGGACTCGAAGCCGTCGACGCTCCGTCGACGGTGTACAGTACTGTACAGGTGCTGCACCGTACAATAGCCATGTTACTATTGATGCCGCTGCGTCTTTGCATGTACGGATAGGCGCTGGACAAACATGCATACATACGTACATATCTGGGCATTCATTCTGCACATTCCAGACCCGTGTGCAGGGATCCTGCAGTCAGCTTGCCAATGGGACCCGAAGCAAGAGTTGAGCTGGCTGGGCTGCTTGGCTCGGACGGCAACGCAGAGGTGCGAGGACACGGCGCCCGGGCATCACCGGTCTTTGCGTGCATTATGACGACCAGGAGAATCTGGGGAGCTGGAGTTGCTGTCTTGTCGAGCTGCGTTGAAGGATTGGGAGTCGTCTGGTGATGCTGGATGGCGGCGGAGACGAGGAAAGACAGATGCGTTCATAACCCCGGATACGTGATGTGTCCATGCATATAGTTGCATATAGTTGCATATCTGGCACTCTTTCTGGCTAATCGTTGTCGGGTTTGCTCCGCTCTGGGCCGTTGTGCTGATTAGATGCACAATGTCCATGTCCGTATACATGCCCATTGTCCGTACATTTTGTGCACAGGGTACCTATCTCATCCTTTTACCGAGTATTTATCCAGCGAGGCTATTAGTTAAGCAGCTCCCTCTTCCTCTCCGCCTGCCGGCCCTCTCTTCCTTCTTCTTGTCCCCTCTCTCCATCCATCTGCTGGCTCCTCCGCCCTTCACCGAGAGGGGGACGTGTTCCGGCCTTGGGAAAGCTCGTGCATCCACCGGCCCGTGGGAAGCATTTGCAGCGCGACTTGCCTCTTTGGGAACATGTCCCCTCCTCCCCCCAGTCTGCACGTCCAAGCCGCCCCCCTTCTCCTCGTCCCCCCGCGAAGAGGACAAGAGGACGAGGACGGAAGAGGGGGGGTATCCGCATGGCGTCCGCATGGTATCCGCATCGCGTCGAGCAGGCAAAACCGACGGCCTATGTCGGGTGGGCGGCTCTCATTGGCCTCTGTAAGCGCAGTCGCTGACGTTGGTGCCAGAGACTAGGACCAAGAGTGCCACACTCTGCACGCGGGTTCAAAAATAGAAACAGACCGATTCTCTCTCGCTCTGTGCAGAATGATATAAGACTTTGGCCTCGAGCTGCCGGCCCTGAATTTAGCCCTCTTTTCTAAGTGTCCCAAAGGCAGCAGAAGGCGGTTCTCTCTCTCTCTTTAACCCTCTTTCTCCTCCTCCTTCTCCCCAAGGGCCTCGTTCTTCCCCACCACCCGTCGCGGCCCTCGTCTCTCTGCTCGTCCTCCACTTCGCTGCAAGCTGGTCTTGCCTGAGTTTTTGTTTCCTCCGCGCGTCTTTATCATTCACTAATACGACGGCTCGTCCACTCGGTTCTGCGCACCGCAACAGCAATCAAACGAGTCTTGCTGGTTCGGGACATCCAACCAAGTGGCTGGCCACGCATCGCCTTCGCGACAACGAGTGCAGCAGTTAGCGTTACTAATTTCAATAATTTCACCATTTGGCACGGCAAAGGCTCAATATCGGACCTTTATCGCCTGGCCTGGCCTGGACCCCGGCCCCCAGCCTCTCTTTCTCTCTCTATCGTCCCGTTTCTGGCCGGCTCCGGACTCACCGTGTTTCCGCTCTTGCTACCGCACGGTGCCACCCCCCTTACACCCACTTCTCTCACTCTCTCCGTCTCCTCTTCATCCTTGTACGCACGCCCCAGACAGAGCCAACGCCCCTCCCCCCCACTCCTCCCTCTTCCCGGGGCTACTTTGTACTCATCCACCCAGTCCAGCACGTACTCGGTACCTTGTGGTCCCCTGCTGCTGCAGGCATCGCAGATACAAATGCCATCCGCGCCCCTCGACGCCAACAGGAGCTCTTTGAGAGCACTCGGGAGCGCCGTCAACATGGCTGTCACGCAGTCTGCAAAGGCAAAGACAAAGGCCAGCAATGGCAATGGCGACGCAAAGTCAAAGTCGCAGATGCATCGCAGGTCGCGGACTGGTTCGTGGCCCCTTCACTTGCACTTACACGGCACAGAACTGACCTGGCGCGCCGTCCTAGGATGCTTCACATGTAGGCTGAGGAGGAAAAAGTGCGACGAGGGCTCGCCCATGTGCACTGCCTGCAGACATCTCGGCCTGCAGTGCGAGTACAAGCGGCCCATGTGGTGGAGCAATAACGATGCGCGCCGCCAGCACAAGGAGGACATCAAGAACATCATCAAGCGCAAGAAGCTCGCCGAAAAGTCGTCACACCCCGTCCAGACGTCTGTCAGTTCCCCCCCGGGCCTGTCTCACTCGCTGCCCACGTCGGCCACCTTCACGGATCCTCTGGACCGCACCAGGTCCGCCTCCATCGACTCGCACTTCTCGGCCGCCTTCAACTTCAACAGCCCGCCCGCTGGAGCCGAATACGGCGTCTACGGCCCGCCCTTGCACCCGGAATTCATGCTGGGCGCCTACTCGCCATACGAGGTCGATGTCAAGACGGAGCGCCAAATGTTCGTCAACGACGTGCCCACGCTGAGGGAATCCCACGTTGCCACCTTCAGCACGTACCAGACCCCCCCTCCGCCCGGCACCGTTCTGGGCCCCGGCCACCTCGAGGCCGGCTGGACAGAGCACGTTACCCACGAGCGCAGGGAGTCGCTGCCCGAGGAGGCCCTCAACCCCAAGTTCTTCGACTTTGCCCATGGCCCCCCCTGCAGCAGTTCCAGACAGGTGCGTATCGAGCTCGAGGACAACGACCAGCGCCTGCTCGACCACTTTGTCCAGTTTGTCCTGCCCACCATCTTTCCCATCCTAGAGTCCAACCAGCACGGCTCCGTCGCCTCCGACCTGATCCTCCCGGCCTTGCAGTCCAACAGCGTCTACCTCCACTGCTGCCTCAGCATCGCCGCCCAGCATATTAAGACGCAGGCCAAGGCCCCCTCCGAGGAGATTGATCAAGACATTATGCGCCACCGCTACGCGACAATCTACTCGCTTTGCGAGGCGCTTAAGCGCGACGAGGACCACCAGCAGATCCTCGAGGCGACCCTCGGCCTCATCTTCTTCCAGTGCGTCGTCGGCCGCTTCGATGACGATCTCCTCGACATCGCCTGGCACCAGCACTTCCAGGCGGCCATCAATCTCGTCCAGAAGCTGGACCTGCCGCGCCTCGTGTCCGCCCCGGCCGGCCAGGTGGCACAGGCCCCCTTCAACATGACGCTGACGGGCTGGATCGACATTCTCGGCGCCACGATGCAGGGCACCTCGCCCACGTTTGCCCACACCTACCGGGAAAAGCATCTCTCGCAGGCCAACCACCAGCTGGGTCTGCGGGAGCTCATGGGCTGCGAGGACCGCGTCATGTACCTCATCTCGGAAGTCGCCTGCCTTGAGTCGCTCAAGATGGACGGCATGGACGACCTCACGCTGTGCCAGCACGTTTCGGCCCTCGGGGAGCAGATTAGCCTAACCGAGGTCAACGAGACGGGCCCCAAGTCGGCCTACAACGCCAACGGAAGCCTCTCGCCCAAGCAGCTGTCCAAAAACATCACGGCCGCCTTCCGCCTTGCCGCGCGCATCTACCTGTGCAGTCTGGTGCCCGGCTTCAGCCCTAGCCAGCCCTCTCCCATGGGCCTGATGGAGAAGCTGACAAACGTTCTGCAACACATTCCTTCGGGGCCCGAGGGTTTCGACCGCAGCCTCGTCTGGGTCTACCTCATTGGGGGATCCATCAGCCTACCTGGCAGCAGCTTCCGGAACCTGTTTGAGGGCCGCGTCACCCGGCTCGGCGACCAAGCCAGCTGCGGCTCGTTTGGACGCATGCTGACCCTTCTCCGCGAGGTGTGGCTACAAAATGACAAGCTCGCGCAGGTGGCCACACCGCGGTCCTCGGCGTCGGACGCGGGGATGCCGCAGTACATCCACTGGCGGGACATTATGAGGATGAAGGGCTGGGACTTTCTCCTGATATGACGAACCCTGACGTTGTCTTCGGTCCATTTTCTACTTCTTTCTCTCTTCCCTCCTTCCAACAGCCGGCCTGTTGAAGGATATTCCGAGGCCGAGCAATCCGCTTCACCTCCCTACCCCTCTCGGCTTCTCTCTGAGGCGAGGGTTGAAGCGGGAGCCAGAGGTGCGAATTTCAGCATTCGAATATTTTTATTCTATTCCCTTTTATTTTTCATTCTAGTTTCATTACTTCCCCCTCATGGCACGAATCTGTCATGGCATGCACATCCCACTGGGATGGGATGTATTAGAGGATGCCGCAAGGCACCACCGGAGTCACGTGGCTCACGATGAACAGCGGCACATGGAAATGCCTTTGCAGACACTTGGGAGACTTTTTGGAGTCTTGAGGTACGGGGGCTGAGGATGACGGCGGTCGGGAGATGACGATGATGGTGGACGATGATTACGATGGCGGGAGTGGATGGTGCGACTTGGCTGGGATTACGAATGATGCCCCTTGCTTTTCTTTTTCTTTCTCCCCTTTCCACCACCTGCTTGCGTCACCTTGTCGGAGTCGGTGGTTTCTCTGCCTATCGCTACGATGGCAATTCACACACACGCACACAAACGAGACGTGTATCAGGCGGACATTGGAATCAAAGGCGCAGAGGAGCTAGTTCTTGGATTGAGGGCAGGGGTGGCCGGATCTGGGGTCTCTGAGGACCTTGTGGTTGATGATGATGGCAACGAGCGGGGAGGGAGGGAGCCCGTCGACAAACGGGCGGGATGTGTTTGTAGAGCAACGGATGACTGGATATACCCCCACCCCCCCCTTAATTCTCAACATTGTTTTTTTATTATTTGCTTCTGGGCGTGCCTCGTCGTCCCCGGCGGTGGCCAAGGTGGCTGGACGCTTCGAGATGTGAAGGCGGCGATGAAAGGCCGGTAGACGGAGCTGCTGGCCACTAAAGCTTGTAGAGGCCGGGGTTGCGGCCCATGGATCGACGCCTCTGCGAAAACTGGGTCGGATCGGCATCTGGTAGTGTAAAATATGGGGGTGCATGGGATGGGGGGCGTGGGGGGATGTGCGTGGAGCAAAGCGCACTGTGCCGATTGCGGAGGCCTTTAACGGCTACTGTAGGGGAGTACAATATTAATTACACACAGAGCTAAGGTAAGTACGTAAAGCAGAGCATATTCCTTGGCTGGAGCTTCCACGTGTTTACAGAGCAGGGCATGGAGAAAGCGGCCATGGACGACGGGGGCGGAGAGATCAGCCCGTCACTGCTTTGGTCTCGTGAGCAGACCTTATCCCAAGGGGCTTCAGCCAGGGTCTACGAAGGTGACGAATGATTTTGCCACAATGCTGTCTCGACCTTGGACATGATTATCATGACTGCGGCGGTGCGGTGCGGCTCCAAGCCAACCACGGAGCGCGAATGGTGGCGGCTCGTGACGTTTGACAGTAGCCTACCACTATGTACGGACGGAGGGACGGCAGTGCAGATTCGCAGGGGTCGGGGGAGTGGGTGGGTTGTTGAATCGTGCTGGTGCGTGCGTGCGTGCATGTCGATTGCTGCCTACCTAGACCCCGGCCGCCTCTGTTGGACTCTGCATGCACAGCAAGTGCGTGTCCCGGGCGGGCAGGGCTCGGCAGGATTGATTGCTCTCGGTGTGTTTGTGTCTGTTTGTGGCGGAGGGGGAGGAGGCCTCTTGTTGGCGTACTATGGCCGGTCTCTGCTGCAGCTGCACTGAGGGAGGTGCACTGAACTGCACTCAACGGCACTGAACTGCGCTGAACTGCACTGCCCGTCTTCATTGGCGGGCGACTTTGCACGGGTCTGGGCTCCAATGCGCCACTGCCGAATGATGCGCCGACAACGCCCACGGCCTGAGTGGGGGATTCGACAGCTGCCAAAAGAAATAATCAAAGCCTGTCAACAATGCTCATTTAGTTTGTTTTATCCCTCATTGTCCCGTCGCCAGTCGTTCCCGCGTGCCAGGATCTTGGGAGATGCCTCCAGAGAGGCTCCAGTGCGTGCTAGCAGGGGAAGGAGATTACCTCATCACTCGGCTGTATCCGCACAGTAATTAATAATTAGCTCCTTCCTTTGCTAGGCGCCGCTGGCGCTCCTTTGTCGGCCAATCAAAGCCCTTCCTGTCCCTCGGCGCGTCTATTTCTGCGACAAACGGCCCAAACCTCAACGTCGTTCCTCTTATCTCCTACACAAAGCCAGTCTCGGCGGCGACGCGCGCGCCTCCTCTCCCTCTGCCGCAAACGGCTCCTTCTGCGTCTGTCACTGCCACCTCTGATGCGTCTCGTCTCCGCCGCCGCCTATGCCTGTCGAGTGACACGACACTGCGCCCTTGCTTGTCCCGCAAGAGCGAGACGGGGCTCGTTGGGCGCCTGCGGCTTCGTCGGCAACGCCTCGGTGCACAAAGCGTCTAGGGAAATTTGTCCACGCCTTCGTTTCGCCACCAGCCGCCTGTTCGTGTGGCCAAGCGCCCGGCAATCGAAAACAATGCTACCATGGCTGACAGTCCTTTACGTCCCGGGTACGCGCCTGATTGCCAATATGCTTGCTGCCTTTTGCGCCGCTTGTCCTCGTCTTGCGCCTCTTTGACATTTTTCTCCGTCTTTGTGCCCACTCTCTACCGTCCCTTTGCCCACCTCGTGAGATGCTCTCTTCGACGCCCTGTCCCATTGTTCGTTTGTGACCCAAAGTCGTTTGTGGTCTAAAGAATCCTTTTGCTCTACGTTTGAACGACTCTTTGCCGGACCACATTGGTGACATTCAATCCTCTCCCCATCGCCTGCTTGGCCAGACCTCTCTCTCTCTCTCCCCCCCTCCGTCATCCATTTGCCTTGCTATTCTCACAACTTCCACCACGCCTCGTGCCACCACTTACATCCCATCTCTCATCGACAAGACTCACTCCCCGTTCCCAGTGCTCTGGAAGCCATGGAACGGCATCCGGTGCCTCTCCGGCTCCTGCTTCTCCGGCTCCTGCTATCCTCGGCCGTCGTCTCCTCTTCGCCCGCCGCCACGCCCGCCGCCCCGAGACTCTTCGCTCGAGCCGACACCTGCGCTGCAAAGGGCCTCGATTCCTGCTCCAACGACCTCCCGGACAACTTCTGCTGTCCCAAGGGCAGCTCGTGCATCTCTCTCGCCGCCGGCACCACCGCCCTATGCTGTCCCAACGACAAGTCATGCGACACAATCGAGCCCATCACCTGCTACATCCAGGCTCAGGACCCCGCCACTGACTTGAAGGCCCCGGTCAAGACGACCGTCTTTGACGTCGCCCTGCAAAAGTGCGGCGCCAGCGGCTATTGCTGCCCCTTTGGCTATTCCTGTTCAGACGGCGGCGCCAGGTGCTCCAAGAACAAGGATCAGTCCAAGTCCCCCAAGAGCGAGCAGCCCAGCGCCAGCTCGACGACTGCCGCTGAGCCAAGCGCAACGAGTACCACGGCCGACTCGCCTTCGTCTGCCGCTGCCGCCTCTACCACACCCAGCGAGGTCTCCGACCCGAGTCCCGTCCCCGGGCCAAACAAGGGCCCCCTCATCGGCGGCATCATCGGGGGCGTCGCTGGCTTCATTTTTCTCCTCATCGTCATCATCCTTTGCGTCCGCCGCAGCCGTCGGGCCGCGTCCGACCAAGATTCGATTCAGGACGGAAGCACCGGGGGCGGATCGGGACCCTACGGCCACGTCATCTCCGCGCCCGTCCTCCACCCGGGCTCCTACCGCAGCGATTTCCTGCGCGGGAATCCCGCCTCCCCGGAGCCGCCAGCCACGCCGGTCGTCGCCCCGTATTCTCCTACCAATACGCACCTCAGGCCGGCGCCGCGCATCTCCATCCCCAACCCCTTTGACTCGCCCAACCCCTCGCCCTACTCGCCCGTCGGGTCGCGCGCGTCCGTCACGTCGGTCGAGGAGCTGACGGCCCGGACTGGCCACGTCGTCGGGTCCCGCCTCGCGCCTATCCGCGACATGAAGCCCACCGAAGCGCGGTACTCGCGCCGCATGTCGACGCACGACGTCGGGCGCAAGCCCAGCTTCGAGGACATCAATGTCTTTGCCGACCCGGAAACGGTGCGCCCCAGCAACAACGACCACCGCATCACCACCATGTCGGACATGATGGAGGAGGTCGGCCTCGGCGACGTGCACCGCGGCCGGCGTCCGTACGTGCCGGGGACCACGCCGAGGATATAAGCATTCTCTCAAGGCAGCCTTCTTTGCGAGTGGCCTCAATATGTTGATGCCCTTGCTGGGCCCGTACCACTACGGTCATTTGAATGGGCTTGTGGCTTGTCTGTCACTTGAGTCTTGCGACAGGCGCGGGGCCAGCAACGCCTAAGAGCGGCAGCCTTTGACGATGCTCAGTGCCTTTGGGTCCCCTTCCCTCCCCTTCGTTGTTTCTTTTCTTTGTCTATTCATGCTAGAGGCGGCATTCCGTGGACCGGAGCCGACGGCGGCGTTTTTTCTTAACTGGGCTGCATCACATCTTGTCTTTTAATTTTTCCGTGGGACGTTTTGTGCCGAATTCGTTCTGCAGCGGCCCATTGCAACGTACATTTTCGCGATTTTGGGGATCCGACAGGGAATCATGATACCTAGCTTAGTACAGGATACACGGTCTGCTTATTTACTTGCTTGGTTGATGTAAGATATGCTAAATCTGCCAGTTTAGTCCCCGAGTCGTCATCGTCATAAGTCTGCCTCCCCCATGAACCTAGTAGTACCGTGGCAGAACAAAGGTCTCAAGTTCCCCACACACCCAACGAAAAGGGGCAGGGCAGGCGGATTTATCATGAGATTATCCTCCGCCTCCCCGAACACGTAACCCGACCACTCCTCCTCTTTCTCAGCCCCCTCACATGACGGCGCACTTCTTCTCCTTGGACGCCGACGGAGTGGACACGTCGGTCCACCCAGCACTGCTCGACGCCTCGTCCCTGCCGCCGCCGCCCTTCTTCTTGCCGCCCTTGTGCTTGCCCTTCCAGCCCCGCTTCCGGGCGTCGATCATGTTCTGGGCCGCGCTGCGCTCCGCCCTGCTGGGCCGCCGGTGGACCGGCGTGGTGGGGCTCCGGCTCGCCGCCGGTCCCGCCCGGAGCCACACCGGCAGGCCGCTGAGCCGCCGTTGTCGCCGCTGGGGCGAGATGCCTCGCCGGTGTGCCCGGGCGCCCTGCGTCGACGGCTGCTCCAGGCTCTCCAGGACCAGGTTGGAGTGGTTCAGGTGGGTGGGACGGGGATGCCGTGGGACAGGCGCCAGTATTTGGGGCTCGTCTCGCCGCTCCCGTGTGCGTGAGGCGGGGGGGTCCAGTGCGCCGGCGATGCCCTTCGGGGTGCTGATGATCAAGGGGCGATCGAACTCGGGTATCTGCACGTCCTGATTGCCTCTCCAGCCCCGATGCTCCCCATCATCCTGCCACGGCCCCCTGGCGGAACTTTCGACGCAGGCAAAATCCGACTGCGATCGGACACCACCTGAAAGGCGGCGAGGATTGCCCAAGCTGGACCTGCGATTTAAGCTCGCCAATTGCTCGAGGCTAGGCGGAGGAGGAAGAATCGCTAGGTCGTTGCTCGCAAGGCCGGATGACGGAGCCGTCGAGGGGGTATGGCCCGTCACCGCCTGTGCCGATACTGCTACTACATCTTCCGGCGTTGTCGGCAGCGGCCAAGTCTGGGCGTTGGACGGCCGCCTGGGCGACGGCTCCGTGGCGCTCGCTGGCATCGAGTGGGAAAGAGAGACATGATGTACGTTGACCAGCGATATCGGCACACGGCCCTGGTCAGAATTGCTGCCAGTCGTTGGCCATGTCGAGGACGCAGCAGGTCGTGCAAATGCCGGTGGCGCATCAGCCGACGAGGACGCCAAAGACTCTGACGGCGCGCCCGCGGAGCCCGGCGGCTGATGGCTCTCACATATGTATGCGGAGAGGCGAGGGCTGTCCGGGGGAGAGACGTCGTAAATGTCGTCGAAGTCCATGTGCTCTGAGTGAATAGAGGGGCTTGATGTTGGCCGCGGGGGATCCTCGTTCCGATACCCACTCGAGGTGGTAGAAGCGCTCGCCAGTCGGGGATGAGACCGGCGGCGTTGACCACGACTAGACTCCGCCTCGGCGCCTTGGCCGGCCGGCGAGAACGACGCAGGAAGGCGACCATCGTGCAACGGAAAAGGGGGCAGCGGCGGCATGAACGGCCCCGTTGGTGGTGGCACCGAAGGCCCGCGCAAAAAGGCCGGCAGATCGCCAGGATCCTCCTTCTGGTACGGCGGAGGAGGGGGAACCCAGTTGTCGGCGTCGCTCTCGTGCGGATGCTCTGCCCGCCCGTCGGCGCGGCGATACTCGATGGGGCGGCCATCGGCCGTTCGCGGGTTCAGCCTTCGGTTGGCGGCGGCGGCCGTGGCAGCGCGGCGTAGGGTGGTCCCGGAGCGAGGACTGGCGTGCTCGTACGGTATGTCCAACGCCTCGAGTTCGTCCATGGACACTTCGTCGCTACTGTCAGCTGAACCAGCTGAGGTCTGGAGGCGACGGATCGCCGGGTTCTTCCCCATGATCCTGGGGACTAAAGGGTCGTCGCCGATGTCGCCGGCTGGATTTAGAGAAGGTATCGGCGGCTCGAGGGTTGCGGTTGTCGCGGCATGCCGCAGTGTAGCTTTGGGGCCTCCTTGCCGCTGTGCGACTGTCCTCCGCCGTACAATTGCCACCTCAGCCGCAATGTCGCGAGTTTCCTCCTCGAGCACCTCGGCCTCGTCGGCGCCGACCTCGATGACCACCTCGCTCTCCTCTCCGTCGACGAGACTGTAGTCAAAGTCAACGAGGGCGATGCGACCACCGTCCACAAAATCGATGTCCTCCTCTTCGGTGGCGAGCCGCGGGCCCGAGACTCCCCGGGCGGTGACGAGGAGTCGCTCCCTAGACGTCGAGCCAGCGAAGCCCGTAACCCACTTGACGTTGCTCACGCCAGCGAGCTCCGCGATTTTACATCCAGTCACAAAATTGTTTCTCTGTTTGTCGCAAATCAGCTGCCACTGCGGGACCCTTTCATTGTCGCCGTCCTGGGCCCTGGCTGACGAGGCATGACGGGAGAGGCCGGCTTGAAGACCGCCGTGTCGCCCAATCGCCGAAGGATCCGGTGGGCTATCGTGGGTCGCCGCGGTCTCGGGAATAGCTTCTAGATCCCCGGGAACTCCGTAGATCCAGACCTCGTTGCCCCGGAATCCTGCCGCGACCAGCTCTCCGTGGGGGGCCGAGGCCGGGAGGGTGCAGGGCAAGAGTTTGGAGGGCGAGTTCGGTTTGGGAAGCGGCCCGGTAAAGTAAGTAGTGCCATTGCGCAAATCGTCGAGGCGAACAGCACGAAAGGTCTCGAAGCTGCGGTCGTAGGTAAAAGTCCACTCCAGCTCTCCGTGGTCCCCGTCCCGCGGTAGCAGTATGGCGTGGCTGCAGTCTCGGCTGGTATTGGGGAAGAGGATGGACGTGGTCCACATTGCGGCGAGGTTACTGTCGGCGGGCTGGCTGCCGGGGTCGTAGTAGGGCGCGGTGAGGACGACGGTGCTCGGGGAGGAGGAATCTGTCGTGGTGCCGAGTATCTGGGTGCCGTCTGGGGAAAAAGCCAAGGCATCGACGGCATCGCACTTGACGGCCCTCCTGTCGGTTGGGAGAGCGCCGGGATCGAGGGAGGAGACTTGGATGCCCCCTTCGTAGGCGGCGGCAAGGACTGAGCCGCAGGAGGAGAGGGCGATGGTGCGAGGGCAGTTGTCGAGGATCAAAGATCGCTTGCGCTTCGGGGGCGAGCTCTGCAAGTCGTAGAGGTCGACCTGCACCTCGGTGGAGAGGACAGCGAGGAGGGTGGCGTCGTCGGTGACGCAAGCCGAGACGGGGCGGCGCAGAATCTTGAGCTGTCTCTTGACCTGCAAGTCGTCGCCACGGACATCGATGACGTATATCCTCGACGAGTTGTAGGCAAGGAGGTGGTGACCGCTGAGGGAGGCGCCGAACCGCATGCCCTCGCCGCCGGGGCAGGAGGAGGAGCTGATTGAATTGGAGACGAGCTTGACTATCGTTTTCCTGGGCCGCAGATACGAGTCGAAGAGGCTGCGCTTGACCTCGCGAGCGAACAGGCGTCGCAGGCGGGACAATTGCTCATGGTCGGGAGGGATGCGGCCTGCATGGCTCGAGAGGTACGATGGGCAATGGGCCAGGTGATGGAGATAGAGGTGCGATCTTTGGGAGACGGCGCGCCACTTGGAATTGAGGACGACGAGGGAGGCGAAGCCGTTGGGATCCGTGGCCAGAAGAATCCTATCGCCGTCTGTTAGCCGGGGGCCTTGAGGAGTAACGAGAAGAGGGGGGGGGCCGGGCGGCATTACTGTTCGATGATCTCGTCGGGCAGCCGGGCAAAGGGACCGGAGGTCAGATGAGTCGACGCTGTCTTGTGACGCGTAGAGCCACGAGAGATGTCGGCTTCCATGGCGAGCTTTCACCTCGAGGAGCCGGCCAACGACGTTGATGCCATGTCAGAGAAAGGTGGAAAAGGGTGATGAAACGGATTGAGCGTCGTTCAACCGCAAGCAGGTGTTGGCTAAAGGGCGGCTCGAAAGTTTTGCGCAAAGCAAGCAGGGGGGGCCTTGTGCTTTTTTTTCTCCTCCCAACCGTGGAGGGAGGACTTGCTGCTGAAGAGGGGCCGTACGAACGGTGGCTGTAGAGGCGGAGCCCGTTTGGTGGAGCGGCGGGTGAGCGTCTGAGCAGCCCCATGTGACGTAGGGAAAGAGGGGCGGGCGAGCAACTCTCAAGAATTTTGCCCTCTCCCTCTCTCTCCCCCCCTCTCTCTTTTTTTCTCTCTCCATCTCTACCACAATTGTACGGCATCTCTGCGTGCCATCCTTGAACCCCTTCCAAAACTGCAAAACTGCTCTGGGGCTCTCAATTCGGCCCGGTGCTCCCCCTAAAGCCACTGTACAGTGTAATACAGGGCCTCGCTACTTCGTATTCTGTACAGTACCTGCAAGTGCTTCATCAGCTGCCTGCCTGCCTCGGCTGCGCTGATTCACATTCACATTCCCTCAGTCTTCCCACCCAGGCCTATTTTTAGATTTTGATCTGCCGTCTACAGTGGGTACAGGTACTGGGTACCTACATTCCAACGATCCTGGGTCCACCAACGTGGAAGTGACCCCCTCGGAGTACGTACAGTATTTGCATTCCCATCACTGGCCCAGCATCAACACCGGCCAAGCCAACGTGCTTCACAGACACCCGCCCTCACTCACCATGATAGCCATTCCTCCCCGTCTCGGAGAGGCCCCGAACGAGGCTGAGCACAAGCCCGACGCACGAGCAGAGCTGACATCAACATGCCGCGTGGCCGTCATCCCATCGCCGCTCGCGCTCCCTGACCTCGACACGCCACCTGTCCTGCACTGCACCTCGCATGTCCGGCCCCGGTCGGCCCTCCGAACATCGCCCGCCATCGTCAGCCGACGTCCCGGCCACTTCCACTGGTTGCCACCGCCGCAGCCTCCTCTCTCCCGACAGCTAACCAGGCCATCTCGACGTGCGCCTGTCTCGACAATTGACTCTTGATTAACTTTCCATAAGGTCCTAGAAACGCTCGGCTTCCCGCCCAACCATCCTCGTCATCTCCCACTTCCTCCCCTCTTTCATCTCGTACAAAGAGCTACTATCGATGCTTGCTCATAACCCTGGCCTTGCCGGCAGCTAAGTACACGCCAGATAATGCTCCTATGGAACCCCTTTGCCTCCTCGAGTCCAAGACCATGAAACCCAACCTGTGCGGCCAGTCCAACTTCATGTTCAAAATAAGCCACCGACTGCAGTCCCAACCAGCTTCAGCAAATCCAGGCATCAAAGCGGTCCTTGCCCAAGGGGCCCTCTTCCAATCAGTCGCTCAGCCGTGACGATCGATCCAAAGTTCTCCTCACGTATGAGCGCACAGCTTGCTTCGCATCGCTAGCCCATCTCCTCATCCGTCCCCCCATCCTCTCGGACCGCGTCGAAATGGCTCGTCCCTTGGACTGGCCGCTCGCCTCAGCCTCTGGCCCGTGATTGGCAGTAAGGCCCTTGCTGTCGACCGCCGGCGCGCTTTCGGCTTCCTTGCATGTCTCAGCTGCAAGTCCCCCGGTGATGCGGAGCCTAAACATGGACAGCTTCTGTCGCAGTCCTCGGTGCTCTGCAGCAGAGTGCGCATCCGAGGTAAAGCTGTGCATCTCGCTCAGCGTCGCCTTGTTCGTCGAGGTGCTTGGTCGACGAGGCCCATCCGCCTTTTCGGGAGACGGCGGATAGGGTATGTTGAATTGATCCGACAGCTGAGGCGAAGGCTCCGGCTCATCCACATTTTCTTCCCGTGACGCCCAGGCGCCGTCGCTCGCCGCCGACCTTGGCCTCTGTTGCATCTCATCCCGGGCAAAGGTCTGATCGGCACCTGCGTCCCTTTGCGAGCGCACAGCCAAGTCTGCCAACGAATTGCACTGTTTCAGACGGTTCGTCCGAAGAGCCTTGCTACCGATGCCAGATCGCGTCCGACCGAGCTGAGTGCGCGATAGCTTGAGCTTCAGCCTTGGTTTGGCTCCTTGGTTTGCCTTTTGCTGCAAACCGTCTGGCCGCTCCCTTTCGGAGCTCCTGAAATGGCTGCCTACGCCGGAAATCCCGCTCGGCGAAGGGGCTATTCCCTCCAAAATCTTGCGCTTCGGGGGGCTCGCCTCCTGAGCCCCGTCCACATTGGGAGGGGAAGACAATGAAGCTTTTTCCGAAAGGCTGCCTCCCTCGCGACACGCCTCCTCTGTCAAACAAAGCCCCTTTGGAGCACAAGGCGCGGGAGGCTCCGCAACTCCCGGCAAATCCAAGGGGCCGTACGCACCGGCTGCTTCACTCGGCAGTGGCGGCAAAGCCTTCATCAGCTGGGGGATACTGTTCTTGACCCTCAGCTGACGAACAGGCGAGATCGGCTCCGGCGAGAGTATAGTCACTTCCTCCTTTGGCGGGGATAGTTTTTGTCGATTCTTCTCCGAGTCGTTCAGACCGACCGTATTGATCCGCAGCGCCGCGGCATTCCGGCGATGCCGTCTTTTCTGTGCGTTGCTCTCGGCGGCAACCACGTTGAACAAGTGGAGTGATGGCCGTCGACCGAGTCGCTTCGGATAGCCATAATCTTCAACTTCTTCCTCGTCTTCCAGTGGCAAGGGGCAATGCTCGTCACTGATCGTCACATCCTCTCCGCTCCGGGGCAACGATGCCTTCGTCAAGCGGTCGAAAGACGAGAAGAGAGAGGCAAACTCCGACAGTGCGGGATCAAGTGTGCACCGCAGCTTGATCAAACTGGACTGCGAGGCACGTTTGTCCTGCAGTGACTCCGAGAGATCTGGCGCGGCCCCTGGGGACTTGGAAAGACGCCAGGCATCTCGTATGGACGAAGGCCTCTCCAGGTCCGGCGTGTCGTCGACCTTTGACGGAGTGGCGTAAACATGCAACTTGGTCACGCGCGGCTCACTGAGCGATGGCGAGGATTGCGAATTCCCCTGCTTGGACACAAGCATAGCCAGACCAGACTCATTCGCATTCTCGCCATGGGCCGGATGCTCGTCGGGGCTCGGATGCTCGACTGCGCCATTCAAGACGTCGTCAATGCTGCGAGCGGACTGCTCGCCACTGTGTCGACGATTTGCTTCTGAGAGGGCTCTTTCAATCGACATTGGCAAGTCTTTGGGCGACTCAGCAGACATCTTCACACTGGTCAGACGGAACAAGCACATACCTTGCTGCTCGTCCTGCGAAGTCAGGGCGCCATCTGTGTCTATGCTGGGTGAGACGGCGTCTAGGTGGACCTGTGTGTCATCTCGCAACACCATGGGCCGACTGTTGCCTCCAGCCCTCTGAGGGATGGGGCAGATGGGAACCTGGGGCTCCGTCTTTGGGAGTAGCGGGGCCGGCTTTTCAAATTCTTCACTATAGTCGTAGTAGAAAGAGCCTCCAGGGCGAAGAGCAGGGACGGCGCTGCTGGCCGTCATGGGTCTCTGGTACATTTCGACAATGGACGTCAAGCTGGCCGAACGCACACTCTGATCGGTGGAGCTGCCCTGGTTGCGCTCATACGGCCTCGACATCCCAGAGAGGGATGAACTCGGCGTCCGAGCAGGGCCGGGACCCGGACCGAAGTGACACGGCCCGGGGGAAGCCCTCGAGGGCAACGAAGCCGTGGACCTGTTGGCGTCGGCACGCAGGGAAAGAGGCGGCGGGCGTCTAGCACCATGTGCGAATGTTGGCTTGTAGGACCCATGGATGGTTCTCTGCAAAGCGGTAAGCCCTCGTCCTTGGCCACAGCGGATCGAGCCCCTTTGATGCCTACCTGAGAAACCCGATCAAGCTCAACCATTCTGCTGTAGTCGATGCCTCCATTCTCGGCAAGGGCTGGCGACGCAGGACGGACGCCAAGACGCTTCAAGCGAGTTGGGTAAGGGAATGGGGAGCGAGGACGCTGCAAGCTGCCGCCGCCGCCGCTGCTCGAATGGCTCTGAAGTGTGCCCGAGGACTTTTGAGAAGGAATCTGCCGGGAGCTGCATGTGGTCAAAGAGTAGGACCGGTGGCCGTCATCGAGCGTGGGAGAAGCGGATCTCAGCCAGTATTGCTGGTTGTCCGATCCGTATAGAGAGATGATCTCCGAGGTGGTGTCCCGGTAGGAGCGAAGAAGCACTTGTTCCTCCTGACCGTGTTTGTTGTCTTGCGACTTGGCATGCTGCGAGGGGAGGAGACGGGCATCCGAGGGATATGGCCGTGGCGGATGGGGTTGACGATAGGCCGAAGAGGAGGGGCCGGCCTTGATGGAGAAGATTCCGATATCTCCCGTCTCGGTGGTCGTCTTGAGCATGCTCTCCAAGGGCCCAGGAGAGCGGAGCAGCGTCGCGTTTTCGTTGACACTGCGCAGCGGTCGTCGTCGAGAAGGAGGGCGGGTCGTCGAGCTGGCCGTGGTGTGACGGCCGTGGGCTTTGTACGAGTGGTGGAGGGAGCTGTGGCTGGCCGATCTCTGCCGAGTTTGGGCGATATCCATGTTGGGCTGGATTTCCCCCCCTTTGCTACTTGATGGATGAAGATGAGAGGCAAGGGAAGGGAGCTTTAAAATGGAAGAAAAGTAATACGGAGAGGGCTCGAAGAGCAAAACCACAAGACAAAGAAGAAGACGGGCAGGGAATGGACAAGGCCAAGACGATGACGGCGGCGCCTGGATCGAAGTGCTGGAGACCAGCTGGAGAGCGAGATGTCACGGCCACCAGTTGCTGGGAGGCATCCCGGGGACACTGATGGCTGGATGAGGGAGATGGGCGGTGGCCAGGCCCGACGGCATCGGAGGCGAGCCATGACTGCCGCTCGATGAGCTGCGAGGGAAACAGCGACGAGGGTGGCGGACGGGTAGCGATGCGTTGCGGATGCCCTCGAGCGAGGAGTGGAAACGGCGAGCAAGGCTATGCGCAACGCCTTCCTCCACGGGCACGGCACGTGAGTAGAGGCGACGGCGCGGGCTCCAACATGCTGGCTTCTAGAAGCTCGTCTCGAGTTGCTGCACTCGGCTAGCGGGCCAGAGTGTCAGAGGGCGAGGGTGGAAGCGAGCAAGAGAGGAGCGAGTGGGGGAGGGGAGGAGAAGAAGCGAACTTGCTGGCGGTCAGGAGTAGAATGGCTAGGCAGGCAGGCACTGACAGCGACCAAGGCTGGCTGGCAGGTGCCTGTTGGCGAGAGACCCCTTGGGCGGCAGTGGCGGCTGTCATTGCCCCTCCCAATCTTGGCCGAGGTGCTGAACGAAGCCGATTGGGAGCTGTTGACTGTGCCTTTGGTCTTGCTTGCCCGGCCGTCAACGTGCAAGGCCGAGGGTCATCGCTTCATGTATAGGCTGGTTACGGCAGCCTTGCACCTGGGCGGTTCCACTAGAGCGGGTGCTGCCGAGTTCGTGCACGGACACGGGTATGCTTGAAGCAACCCACCTTCTCGGTCGAAGATGGGGCCATTCAAAGCTACGGGTTGCTGCTATTGGCGGTATGGGATCGAAAGTCTTGCTCAGCGGCTGACTTGATATTTTGGCAGAGCATGGTTCTCCCGTGGCATTCTGGACCGCGGTCGGTGAGCGATTGTGGACGTGTGGTCGTTGTCAGCTCTCGAGACACAAAGATGTCGTGAATGGCCTCGTGTGCAAGAATGCAAGCCTGCGTCCTGTCATCCTTGACGGCCTGCTGCTCTCCATGGTTGAAGTCTCGGTGCAAGGTTTGAGCCAACAGAAAGCATCCAATCGCCTGGGAAACATACGAGAGTAACAGCGCGTCGTTGAACCTATCGGCCTTGCAACTCAGTCGTCTCGTCAGCCAGGTATGCAGGCGTGGAGCATGTATCGTGTGCGCTCGCATATAATTTTTTGCCTTGCTGTGCGTCATCCGCTGTCTTTTGCCTTCACCTCGACATATACGGAGTATATGCACAGTAATACAGACGTGTTCGATTGAGATGGGCCCCTGCATCTGCCCGGTTGAGGCATTCCGGAGATGGATGGGTGTGGCAAACCCCAGGCTGTGCCTCTGTCGCCATTCGTAGCACCATGCATGGGGAGGAGACGCAACAGGTCGCCTGCAGACGTGCAGTGACACGCTGGCGGCCCCGGAGTCCTGTGACCCTCGCCCCGTCTTTTGACCCCGGGCTCTCGAGTTCTCATGTGTCCGTACTGTGCACGGTATCTTGAGCAAACCCCGAGTGCATGCTGCAAAAGCTTGACCAAGGGCGCAGTGGGTACCTACCTACCTACCTCACCTTAAGGTACCTAGGTACGTACCTCTGTACAAAGTGCCTAGGTACCTAGGTAGGTATACATACCTGCCTAGCAATGCACGCATGCATTACAATGTGTTTATGGTAGGTACTGTATCTAGGTAGGTACTTATACATACAACATGGCAAGGGACAATGAATGGGCCCCGGCCAGAGCCAACTTTAAAAGCATGCAGACTGCGAGAAAAAGACTCCATGGCAATCTCCGACCTTTGTACAGACGTCCCGGGCCCAATAATGGAGTGAAGAATGAGCTGCAAGTGGATAAAAGGCTGCTGCCCGGCGACTGGCGTGGCTTGGCCTTGGCATGCATGTGCCCGGGCCCGCCTTTTCTGTCCCCGCAAAATCCACTTCCTGCGAAGAATCCGGAAAGAAATGCACTAGTCAGGGGCTGCCGTGGGTCGATTCAAGGGTCCTGCCAGCCTCTGCATCCCGCCCGCCCAATGTCCGGTGACGAGGGGACAAAAAATTCAACGAATTTTCAGAGACTGATGACTGCCTCGGGTGCTGTATGAGAATATTTAAATTTTCTGCACCTTTCCCCCCTTGCACAATTTATTTCCTTTGCATCCTTTGTCCCTCCTTGTGTAATTGATCCTGCGCCTCTTTCTTCCTTCTTTTTCTCTTAAACTTTCCTGCTCCCCCTCCCCTCCCCCTACACCCGTCGTTTCTAATCAAAGCCTCCCGTCTTCTTCTCACTCCAACTCCTTCTCCTCCCTCCTGCCTCTCTGTCCTCCTCGGCTTCTCTTCTCGGCTCTCGTCCACCTCTCGCCGCGCACCAAGGTACCATCCACTGGCCGAGAACCCCGCCGCGACCTGCCTCTAGATATATAGGCGTCATCGACCTCAAAACTCCCAGCGGCGCCGCGCGCCTCAGAACAATCAGCTTTGCCCGCCGCCATGGCGTCCCGGAAACCGGATTTCCGCCTCTCCATTCCCGCCAGAGAGCAGCCAGATGCCGACACCCACCGTCCCTCCGTGTCGAGTCCTCGCAGCCCTCGCTTCCACGAAGATTTCGATGCCCCCTTCTCAGAGGCCATCATGAACGCCTCGAGGACGACCCTCGCCACCGACTTCAGTGACAGCTACCCCTCGTCGAATAGTCGCCATAGCCACGACGCCGACCACAAGCGCCAAGGCCCTGCCACCAACAGCACGCCGCCCAAGGCCCGCCTCCAGTCGCCATCCCCGCACCAGCTGCGCCGGGATACCTTGCCTCCGTCCGAGCCCGCCAAGGCATCCAGCGTCAACGACAGGATCCGCGACTGGGCCAGGAAATCATTCCCCTTCACACGCAAGGGCCCCGAGCAACCAGATGAAACGGACTCGCCCCGCCATCAGCGTCGTCAATCCAAAGCCCCCAGTACCCGCCCGGCCTCGGCGTCACAAAAGGCCGATGCCGGCACTGCACCAAGCCCTGACTAGGGTCGGCGGCCTGTCGTTGCGGCCAAGGAGGACGAGTCAACTCATTAGCACACGGCCCAATGACTGGCACCTGTGGCCTGGCTCATTAATGATTGCAATGCCCGTACTGACTTGTGCCTCGCCATTGGATATCGGCGTTGAGCAAAGTCACACATGTACTTATGCCACCGGCCAGCGTGCCTGAACCTAATCATAATACCCAAAACAAGTGGCTCCTGCACTCAGAATACACCGCCTCCGATGATGAAGAGTCGTTGTTCCTCCTTCTTGGCCCACTGGATAATCTTATTTGCGCCCTGTGACATCGACTCTCTCGACAGGTTGGGTCCGCCCACGCAGTAAAACTCGAAGACGGGCGTGACCCAGGCCAGCGACGTCGCCTCTTCGCTGGCGCAGTGCATCACCTTGAGATGCGCGTGCTTGGCGTGAGCCGATGCGTGGAGCTCGTGATACAGCGTCATCAGTCTCCGCCGTTTCACCACGCCGACAAACCAAGGCTGCAGCGAGGCCATGCAGAACTGCACATTTGCTCGCGACTTATACAAGAAATGGCTGATCTGGCTCCCCGGTGCGACTTGGGACACGCTGGGGCGGCCCGCCCGCGCTGCCTTCCTGATGCTGGCCAGGCTGCCGTTCTTTGCAAGCTGCTGTGCGACGTCGTCACGCATCTGCTTGAGGCCGTAGAAGCTCTCTCGATCGGCGCTGATGAGGACCATGGCAATTTCCGTCTCGGCCGATTGGCCCTGGCTGGCGGCCGGCGCACGGGCTTGTTCCCCCGACACTCCCTCGAAGAAGCTGACGTACATGTACAGGTAGCCTTGGTTGTTGAAGGCGGGGAGGCAGATGGGTATCCAGTTCTCGCCGCCGCCGCCCTTGATGCCGTCCGACTCGAACAGCATGTTGAAGATGAGCTGTAGGTCACTGGGGTGCAGCGAGTGGCGTCGCGGGCGTATGACGCTGACGAGTTTGCCTCCGGCCACAATCAGCCCGTAGAGAAGCTTGCTGGCCCGCAGCTTCAGAAACGTGTTGTTGATCGTGTGCCTCTCCGACTTGGGGAGCTTCAAACACTCCAAGGATCGCAGCAGCGCCGAGGCCGAGCCCATGGTGAAGTTGTCCGCCAAAGAGGAAAGTAGCGATTCGGTTCCTTGCAGCGGTTTGCGGAGGTCGGTGGATGGCCGGTTAATGAATATGTTTCGCAGCGTCGGCAGAGTCAGCGTCGACAAGATCTGCATGTAGAGGGCCTCGAGCTGTGCCCGTAGTTGCGAGTCGCTCTCTCCGAGCTTACTTATGGCTATAAAGTAGAGTGGCCCTTGGGTCGACACGATGAACCGCGTGTCTCCGGCAGTGAAGCCCTGCAGCGGGCTCTTGGAGCCCTCGTAAAACGATATTATGGTTTGCACGACTCCTATGGAAGAGTTGATGAGGCTGAGATCCCCATGCCGGCTCCACACGGGCTTCCCCGCAGACGAAAGGATCATGTAATGCTTCAACTTGGACTTCCACATGGCCAGGCGGTCGTCGTCATCGAATTGCTCGTCAACTTCGTCTGGCAAGGGCTCAAACTCTTGCGGAAACTCGGCGAGGCGGTCCTGAAGCCCCGTCCGGTCCCTCTCAAACGGCTGGACCGAGGCCGACTGCGACCGGAGCAGGGTCCAGGCGGGGCTCTTCCGATTGAAGTTTCCAGCGAGGAGACTGGCAAGGTCTCCGGCCGGGCGCATGGTCGGCGCGAAACTCGTGACGCTGACGGCATCGTCACCGCCCTCGCCCCCGGAGACGCTCGCCTTCAAGCTGGGGGAGCCGTTGCCGCTGCCAATGGGCGTGGAAACGGACCTCGGCCCCGCGACTGAAAAGGTGCCGCGGGAGCCATCAGGGAACGAGAGCGTCTGGATATCCACAGGGCTGATGGCCGTCGTGGCCTGTGCCAGTAGAGCCCTCGAGTCTGCCGAAGCCGCCGTGGTCGTTCGGGGGGGCAACGGAGGCGGATGCTCGTCGCCCGCCGATCCAGTCTCCTGTCCCATGGTCAATGTGAGGGTCGCATTTCAGCTCGACCTGCCAGGCCTGGGGGAGAACGGAGCGGGTCTCGCGGACGGCCTCATCGCATGGGCCAATGCGGCCGCTCGCAGCAGGATAGCGAAAGGGCACTCGAGGGGCTTTTGTCTCGTCGAAAGGGAGGCTCTGGGCCGTGGAAGAAGTAGCTTATGACGTTGACGTTTATTAGCAGCCCTTTGTCAGGAGAGGGCCTAGGTCAGTTTTAGCGGCGCTGTGCCTAGGGGCCACGGCCAATCACAAGCGTCAACGGGCAGCCCCACGATCCCCTGCACGAGGGCCAGCCATGCAGGGTACGTACTTGTTGAGAGCCTCGTCTGAAACGTAGCCTTATCGTCTTCCCAGACCTCGACTCCAGCGCAGAAAGCATCGTCGTTTCCTGACGGCCAGCCGCCCTCCGCCGCGTGCGTCCCCGTCGTCTTCCTTGCGCTATGCGATTCCGCTCCAGAACACAACCTCCTGCGCCCTCAGGCCCACGTATGGTCCGCGACTTCTGTCGCCATGTCGCCTGAGCCGGGACCCGGCGTCCGCCCAGCGTCACCAGAAAGCTCGGGACGCGACTCGCCCATCCCCCGACGGTGGAGGAATCAGCTTGGTCAAGGTGCGCGCGTCTCTGAAGCTGCATGGCCTGTTATTTCTAATCGTCATCGATAGAAGAGCAGCCGACCAGGGACAAGGCATATCGCAAGTATGCTGCCGCCGTTGAGAAGACACTGTCGCTCTTCGAGACGGCGTTGGAGGAGTGGGCCGACTACATATCATTCCTCAACAAGCTGCTCAAGGTCAGCATTTCTGCGCCCACCACCCTGTGCGCTCAACTACGCGGCGTGCTGACTGCCTTCTGCCAGGTCCTGCAAGCCCGGCCGACCTCCATCACCGCGATACCGTCGAAAGCGACCGTCGCCAAACGTCTATCTCAATGCCTAAACCCCGCCCTGCCCTCGGGCGTTCACCAAAAGGCTCTCGAAGTCTACAACTACGTCTTTACCACCATTGGCGCAGATGGTCTTTCTCGGGATCTTCCCCTATACCTCCCAGGCCTCGCCTCGACTCTCTCCTTCGCCTCGCTCTCTGTTCGATCGCCTTTTCTCCACCTCTTAGAGACACATTTTCTCGAAATCGATTCGCGCTCCCTGCGACCGGCAATGAAGTCTGTCATCCTTGCGCTACTTCCGGGCCTGGAAGATGAGACGAGTGAGGACTTTGACCGAACGTTGACCCTCGTCACGCGCTTCAAGAAGGCTATTAGGCCCCATGACAGCGAGCAGCTCACCGAGAACCACTCATCCGGCGATGCTTTCTTTTGGCAGTGCTTCTTCCTGGCATCCATCACCGGACAGAGCCGTCGCTCGGGGGCGTTGGCATATTTGGTGCGCTACCTGCCAATCCTCGGACCTGTTCCACCAACCGCCAATTCCGATGCCGCGACACTTGCTAGTGACGCCGACGACAACTCCAAAATTGCCATCATTGTGACCTCTCCCGAGCCAGGCCTCCTGGTGCGCTGCTTTGCCAGCGGCTTGGCCGATGACCAGCTGTTAATCCAACGCGGCTTTCTCGACCTTCTAGTGACACATTTGCCCCTGAACTCGAGTGTACTGCAGTCTCTGGTGAAACCTACCGATCTCGAGTTTCTCCTCAAGTGTGCTGCTGGTGTCGTCACGAGGCGAGACATGAGCTTGAACCGCCGGCTGTGGGCATGGCTGCTTGGCCCAGAGCCAGTCGGCGGCGAAGGGGACCATGCCGGCGACACGTCGGCATCCGCCGATCAACAACAGGCATTTCTCTCATCTAGGACAACGTACTTTGAGGAGTTTGGAATGCAACCCCTGACAAAATCTCTACTCGACATGATCAAGGGGGCTTCCACCGGAAATGCCGCAGAGCGAGCTCGGCCGTATAGGATCTGCCTTTCTCTTATGGACAGATGGGAGATTGGGGGCTTGGTCGTTCCGCAGGTCTTCCTTCCAATAGTGCAGAGCGTGCGGAGTTTTCAAAGCCAGAGTCCTGCCAAAGCCGAATTCACAGAGGTATTGCGGAGTGCCAGCGTCTTCTTTGACGGCATCGAGAGCGGCCTCATCTATAGCGAGCTCGTCAGACTACTGGCACAAGCTCTTGGCCCCCAAAACACCGCCATGGCCGATCGAAGGGACAAGGTTTCACTTGTCAGCTTCATCATCGCAAACTTCAACGTCCGTGAGGAAGAGATGGTGACGATCCACGCTCCTCTCACCTGCCTAGGCACCCTGTCGATGCTGGAAGAACTCGGGGCTCGCAGGGCAAAGAGTGACCTGATGGACACGGAGACTACCAAGCTGTCCGAACAAGCTCTGAATGTGGTCACCTCCCTGTTGGAGCTGGTGCCGGATCGCGCATTTCCAGTCACCCAAGCAGTCTCGGCTGGCACGGCGGTCCGGCCAAGGGCGACCTCGTCCGTCTCCAACACCGACATTCTCAAGAAAATTGAGACTTTCTATGTCCAGGAGCAGGGAAATATCGATTCCATCCCCCCACCATTCGACCCCATTGAATCTGGAGAGCTGCTGCTGCACAAGGCCGTCCGATACATCTGCGACCCCGCTGATGACTCGAGACCGAGCGAGGACTTGGGCGTTCGAGTTCGCATCTTCATACATCTCCTGTTGAAAACACCAACAAGCTACAAGTTCAATGTCGGCAAAATGATGTCGCACTTGAACAAGAAGCTGCGAACGGATTCTCTGTTGCCGTTCTCCTACTTCTCATCTGTTCTACAGCTTGCCACGCATCTTTACTCCTCGGAAAGGATAAGCGAGACGCAACTGTCTGAGCTAGTAGCTCCTCTTGTTCGCCATGCATGGTCCTATCTGTCCGCGTCCGACCCCAAATATCATGTGGAAGCTGTTCGTTGCTTGTGGCAGTTGCAAACCGCTCTGACGTCTTGGGATCGCGAGATTGAGGCCGCTCTGTCCGGCATTCTGGTTGATTGCCAGTCAAACAGCCCACCCTCCGGTTTTGCTGAAGCAGGGCGCACATTCGGCGTTTTGTGGTCGCACACGCTTCAAGACTCGGCCTCGGACCGTCGGGGCCCAAAAACGCCAACCCAAGAGTATCGATCTCCACCCAGGCTCGCTGGGATGGATCATTACCAGGTCATGTTGGCTCGACCTGTTTTCCTCATCCTGGACGCATTGCTCGATGAACGAACGCAGTCGTGCATGGTCGTCAAATCCTGGCTTAATAGCATGCTTGGGATAGACAGGTAAGTGGAGAGACTTTAGGTTCCTTCTTGAGCTACGCGCTGATGCTCCGCAGGCTCTTTCTTCTTTTTGTATCCAAGCTCTCCGAGATGCCTCTACTTTCGGCCGTCCGAAACAAGGGTTATGGAGAACTAAAGATGGACGTTAAGTCGGTCCAGCTTGGCGAGGATGACGATCTAGACTTATGTCTGTACTACTTACGAACCCTCCACCGAGTTCTCGGCTGCACTGGCGAGGTCTCTAGAGTTGTCCTCGCCTCCAAGTATCTCTACTTTAGTGGTGGACAGGTGCAAATCCGTGGTTCGTCCCCCGGGTGTCGCTGAGCTGACGTGCCACTGACGCCGGCTTAGGAAGCGCCGAGGAGGGCGACATGACCTTTCAAGACTACTTCGTCCGGGTGTGCGTGGAATGCATCACAGGAGAGGTGGCGCCGGCTGCCAGCGGGGAACTGATCGAACGAGCCTCGCAACTCCGCCGATACGCGTTGACCATCCTCCACCAGTTCCTGTCGAGCCGACATGCTGTTCCGGTAACCCATCTCCAGCTCGACGGCATCCTTTACGAGAGGCTTGCCAAGTCCGTCTCCATGCCTGATCCATACGTTCAAGTACTCCTGCTTGATGTCATTTACGATTCTCTGAGGCTTCAGGAGATGACGCAGGCGGAGCGACCGACCTCTTCCATTTCCGAGAGAGTCGCCTCGGGCACCGAACGTCAACGGGCCGGTAGGCCTTCGACTTCGATCAGCGATTCTTCACCCGGCAGCCCGCTCATGCCTCCTCAGCTCCTCAAATGTCTGCAAGCCGGCCTCAGTTCTGGCAGCAGCCACTGGGTGCTTGACAACTGGATATCTTTTCTAGGAGACTGCTTGCCGTTCTTTGCGCACTCCATCTTCCAGGCTTTGATACCTCTCGTCGAGACGCTCTGCCGGCAGATCGACACTACCTTGTTCAATCTACGGGCCACGTTCCAGATGAAGTCTCATCAAGAGCGCGGTGGCGGGGGCGCACCCGAATCAACCCTCTTTTACTTGCTGAATGGCCTGGAGCGGATCCTCGCCTTGGCCCACGACCAGCTCCTGACGGAAGAAGCCCGGGCGCGGGTGATGAAAGGACCCGAGCAGCCCCAGTCTCTATTCGGGAGCATGGTGTCAGGCGTGTTCCAATCCGACAGCGCGCAATCGCGAAGCGCCACGGCCAACGATCGGTTGACGGTCCACCTCGCATTCCAGGATACCATGCGAACATGTTACAAGATCTGGTCATGGGGCCAGGGGGACGAAGCCAAGAAGCAGGATCCCGTCTCGTGGGCGTCTTTTAACTACACCTCGTTACGGATGAGGAACCGGGCCCGGCGGCTGCTTGAGCACCTCTTCACTGCGGAGACGCTGGAGTGTCTGGAAACAGTAATCGACATCTGGCACTCATCCGATAATGCCATTGAGCGCGCACACGTCTTTAATTTCCTGTCGGCACTGGACGCATGCAGGCCGAAGCACTGCGTTCCGGCCCTCTTCAACGCCATCTACAGCCGGACAAATCCCAGCGCCTTGGACCCATCGCGCAAGTCAACCTTGACCATCTCGCTGCAGGACTCTGATCTCGTGGTCTTCCTCGTCGAATACGCCCGCTCTCTCGAAGACGATGCCATGGACGAGATCTGGCAAGACTGCATGGCGTTCCTCAAAGACTTGCTGGGCAACCCGTTCCCCCACAGGCAGACATTGCCGAGCTTGCTCGAGTTTGCGGCTATTCTGGGCAAGAAGGTGGACAATACGAATTTTGGCGAGCAGCGGAGGATGCGTCGGGAGCTAGGGGTTCGTTGACACGCTCGGCTACTCGCGTCACGTTTGTGCTGACCATGGACAGGATCTTTTTCTTCGGCTTCTCGCTGCGCTCTTCACCACCCGCCCCATGACATTTGCGGAGTCAAATGGCTCGACAGAGAGGCTCGGCAAAGACAGCACAGGCCGTCGAGGCACATTGAGTCTCTCCAGCGACGGGTCAGACGATGTTGTTTCTGTCTTGGCATCGATTGTCCCCAATCTACCTATCATCCTGCTGGAGACCGACCGTGTACTCTCCGCGGCTGCCACACTATCCACACATGTCATTGGACCGGCCTTGCGTTCCAGGGCCTTCCCCGACACAGTCTCTCCAAACATCATGCGGTTGCTGCACGAGCTGTCGCGGCTACAGAACAACCAGAAGACGTGGAGGAAGGACGTTGGCGAGGCGTTCAACGACGGCAGGTTTTTCGGGACGAGGCTGGAGCTGGTCCTGGATGACTGGCTCCCGCTGCTTCGGCAGTGGGTTCTTTCGGACAAGGAGAAGATGGCGGAGATTGTGGGCCGAATCAGCGCGCCTACCACGGCCGGGATTGTCTTTGGCGTTGGTGCTACATCTGCGAGGCTCGAGGCAGATCGCAAGACGCAGCTCAACTTGCGGCGGATCGCAACCCTCGTGCTTGCCTCTGCGGATGACGCCTTTGTCACGGACCTGCAGGTGATTTTTGACAAGCTGGTGGAGCTGCTGGCGGCCACGTCGACGTCGTCGCCGTCGTCAACCACGAGGGCGGACGTCTTCCTTGTCGTGCGGGCGTTGGTGCTCAAGACGAGCCCCGTCCACCTGGCCATGCTGTGGCCCGTGGTCAACGCCGAGATGCATGCGGCCATTTCGTCGGTGGTTGCGCCCGAGCACAGCACCGCGGCGGACACGTACGCCAACGCGGCCATCCTGCAGGCGTGCAAGCTGCTCGACGTGCTCATCTGCGTCGCGCCCGACGACTTCCAGCTGCACGAGTGGCTCTTCATCACCGACACCATCGACGCCGTCTACCGCTCGTCGACATACCAGCCCGTGGCCCTCGTCGACGAGCTGTCCGAGGAGATTGGCAGCGCGTCGGCGGCGGCGGCGCACGCGGCGTCGCAGGCAGACTCGGTCGCGCATGTGGCGGCCACGGGCACCGGGCACAGACGCCCGCTTCTGCTGGGCTCCCGGGCCGGCGGCGGCGGCGACGACGACAGGGACGGGGTCGGGGCCGCCCTCGAGCGCAGGGACGAGCTGGTGGCCAAGGTGCTGCGGCCATTCTTCGGGCAGCTCAGCATCTTTGCGTTTGAGTCGACGTATGCCATGGGCGCGCTTGACCGGGAGGCCTGCGTCCGGGCGCTGCTCGGGGACGTCTTTGACGAGCGCACCATGGTCAGGGCTCTGTAGGGAGAGCTGCTGCGGAGATGCATGTAGGTGCCTGGACGGGGGGCAGGGGGGGTGCTAAACAAGCGTTGGCGATGCTTGACGGGGCGTGGCCTGGAGTTCCCATGTATGCAGGCGTGTTGGCAGATAGAGTCGGAGCGGCACAGGGGAGAGGGCCAAGCGAGGCGGGTGGCCCGTCGATTCAAGGCCGTCTTGATCATTTTCCTTCATGGGTCTCTGAATGTAAATTTGAGGCAGAGGACCAAAAGATCAAGGCAGATGTGTTCACTTATATCCATGCTCGCATCGTGTTCACATTACTATATATATCGGGGTATTTCCCCGCCCTTTTCCAAGGACGGAACACGACTAGATTTCTTCTTCTACCCACCCCAACGCCCCCTGACCAAGCCCTATTCCCCGGGAGACTGCGCAAAGCTCTCGGCTTGCGCGTCCTCCTATTTTCACCCGTACACTGAGACAGGCACAGGCACAGGCGGCCCAGACGGGCCGAGGACCCTCGCCACGACACTCTCAAACGCCAGCCTCTCAATGGCGGCGCCGTACTGGACGCAGCGCACGACGCCCTTGAATTCGCGCAAGAGGGCGTCGAGGGCGCCGCCGCCGAGGAGCAGGCTGGCGGGGTAGCGCGCGGCCAGCTCGAACCAGGCCTGGACGGGCGTCGTCTCGTCCTCGCCCGGGTTGAGCGAGCGGGCCAGGCCGAGCAGCGAGGCGAGGGTCATGGCGGGCGCGGGCCAGCTGAGGACGGGAGGCGACGCGGACCGGCGGCTGCTGCGGCGCCAGATGCTCCGGCCGGGGCTGTTGAAGGCCTCGCGCTGGGTGTAGACGGACTCGGGGGCGCTGGCCATGAGGTAGGCGCTGGCGATGAGGGCGTGGCCGCGGGGCTCTTCCGACTCGTGCGTGTGCGAGTGGAAGTCGCCCAGGGCGAAGTGGTCCCAGCAGACGTGCTCGAGACTGGCTTGGCATGTTAGTCTTGCGGATCAGGGAAGGAGGCCGGGGAAGCACGTACGCAAGGATGAAGTTGATGGCTCTTTGTTCCTGCTCGGGCGTCAGCGGCACCTCACATCCCGAGTCGGAGGGGCTGCTGCCGGCCGAGGCCGAGGCGGAGCGGGGGCTGATTTTGAAGCAAGGCGTGCCCATGACATCGTTGACGCTAAGCGTCACGGTCAAGTCGTCGACGTCGACGTCGCCAAACAGCTCGGACGGCGCCCGCTGCCGAGAGAGCGGCCCGGCCGGGTGAGGAGGAAGAGGCGGGCCGCCGCAGTGGGCAGCTTCGCCGGCGGTGGCGGTGCGCAGAATAGCACGCATGTCGTTGTTCTGGCGCTTCAGCGCATGGGTGTCGTGCTCGGCGAGGGCAATCAGGTCCCGGAGCTGGCAGACGTCAAGCTCGAGCTGCTTGAGGTGGTTCGCCTTGCGCTGGCGGTGGTGGATCTGGGCCCTGCGGACCTGCATGCGGCGGTGCATATTCCTCTCCTCGGCCGTCTTGGGAGGCGGCGGCGGCGGAGGGGGCAGAGGATCTGAGCCATCGTCGGAGCCAGCCGTAGGCGCGAGGGCTCGGCTCGACTTGGTCCTTGCCAGTCTGCGCATGGTCTGCACCGTGTTCTTGTCCTCTCGGCGTCAGACGCGAACTTCGAGGGACAGCTGTTCCCGGCAACGAGAAGAAACAGCGGAAGAGGGAGACAGAGCGAGGAAGTAGGAGAAGCATGCAACGAGCATGGATACCCACTTCATATTTGTTGATGCGTGGGGATGAGGGGTGGGGTGATGCGACGAGGCAAAATGCACGAGCTCGGCGACGACTGCCGACGCTGACGACGACGACCTCCGAGGCGACATGGCGCTGGTGCTGCTACTACTGCTGGTGCTGCTGCTACTGCTGGTGCTGCTGCTACTGCTGGTGCTGCTGCTACTGCTGGTGCTGCTGCTACTGCTGGTGCTGCTGCTACTGCTGATGCTGCTGCTCCTGCTGATGCTGCTGGTGCAGCTAAGAGACACGCGATAGAAGGGGGGGGGGTCGTCGGGCGAATCCATTGGTGGTGGTGGTGAGGAATCGAGGTGGGCGGTGGAGCAAGATTCCAAGGGTCGCCATTGCAGCCCTACAGACAGACAGCCACCAGCCCGTTGCCGGCGAGATCCGGCCGCTGTGGAATCAACATGGAACAATGCAGCGACAGGTGCCGGGCCCGCGGCAAGTCGGTCCCGAGGACCCCGAGGGGCCCAGTGGACGCACGAGCCGCCAATGAATCCAAATCTGTTCCATGCCCAACCTCCGACCACCACCTGTCATGACTCTCATCAAACCAAAAAAATAAAATAATCTCACCATGTCACCGCATCGTGTTTCCAGCACCGTCTATTCGTAAATCAGCCTTTTATTCCTTTTCCAGTCCAAAACGCCTCGCTGTACGCTCTGCTCCTGTTAAATCCTGGGGCCGGCAGAGCCCGGAAACTCTGCCGAAAAGCAAAAAGTCCCTATATGCCGTCACAAATCTCTCGCCCAAATGCCGCCTCTAGTCCAAGTCGTCGCCGTCGCTGTCCGTTGCCGTCTCCTCCTCCACCGCGTCCCTCTCCTCGTCCTCCTCCATGCCGTCGCTGTCGTCCTCGTCGGCGTTCAGGCCCGGCACCGACTTCCAGTGCACGTAGTCATTCTCCAGCCACCGCTTGCTCACAGGCAGCTGGTACGGGTCAAAGGGGAAGTACGGGTCGAGCTGGTGAAAGCTCTCGCCCTGCGCCTCATATCCCGCATCCCGCAGCGCGCCACCAGTCGCATACGTCGACGAGAGGTACTGGCTCAGTCGGATGCGCTTGTTGCTTTCAACCAGCGGGTAAATGTACATAAAGTTGAGCCGATGCGCGAGCTTGGCAAACTCCTCCACAATCACCGGAGCGCACACCTTCAGCGGGTTCAGCTTGCCAAAGATCTGCACCGACACGTCTCTCTTGGACATGCCGATCCACTCCAGGTCCTGTCCAATGTATGACGCCGGGTCCTCGGCGTCCACCATGTCCGGAGCCGACTCCACCAGGTCTTGCCATCGGAAACAGAAAATGTACAGCGTCGCCTGCACGAGAGAGTAGTAGGGGTGGAATCGCTTCAGGTCTGGCCCACGGCACAGCGGCTCGTACTTTTGGCGATACTGCTCCAGGTGGTGCAGCAGGAGCAGGAACATGGTCCGCACCAGGCTCCGCGGCACATGCGCCCCTCGAGCAACGAAGCTGGCCAGATACGCCGCCGCCGCCTGCTTCAGCACGTTGGGCGTGTTCCCTTGGAACGCCGTGGCGATGAGCTGGCCGCAAAAGGCGTCCGTCAGACGTTCGTGCTGCTGCGCAAAGTGAAAGATGAGGAACTGCGTGTGTCTCGACTTGTACGTGGGGAGCACCATGTAGTCGAACTCGCGGAGGATCGTGGTAAACATGTCGAAGGCCTTGTCGGATCCGGGGTTGCTGAAGTGCGGCGTGTAAAAGTCAAAAAGCGTATCCAGCGCGGCGTCCATTTTCTCCACATTCTCCTTGACCGTCTTGATCCTCGCCGCCTCTTGGTCGTAGTCCAGGTCGTCGCTATCGACCGACTCGTTGTCGCTGTCGTCCGACCCATCATCCTCCCAGTCGAGCCCCTGCCGCTGGTTTTCGCGCAACGCGTACATAACGGCCGCCGTAACGTCGTCGTCAAGGTCTTCCAGATCCACCTGCATCTGGGAATCGATTTTGACCACCCGGTTCAGGATGAGGTCCAGAATCTCGTCCCGCAGATCCGGAACGTAGTCTTTAACGAGAAGCAGGTTGCGGATGTAGGCCATGTGTATCCTCATTGACTCGTCCGGAAAAGGAAACTTTGCGCTCAACAAGTTCTCCAATACTGCAACAGCCGAAGGGAACATCTGGAGCAGGTATTGCATGGTGGAGTGAAGGCGTTCGCGCATCGTATTGCGGCTGACGTCGGGGAAGTCGGGGACGGACCACGACGAGGAGTGAGAGTGGCGGAATTTATCCACCATCATCGACAGAACTGCCGCGAGGTACGAGCCTTGAGCGCTCACCAAGGCAGCAAGAAAGTGGCTAAAGACCTTGACAAAGGCCTTGTCCCGTCCCAGCCAGGAGCACTTCAGAATGGTTCGGACCAGGCCGTTGCATTCCTTGCCCTTGAGGATGGGGATGCAGCTCGTCAGCGCCATGACGTAGGCCTGGAGTTCGTGGGGCTTCAAGGTGTCATCCTCCTCGCCCACGACGGGGGGGAGATATCTCTGCTTGTCGTTTGCGAACAACGTCTTAAGCGTGTCGTACTGCCCGTCATTCTCGCGCAGGTGCTCCTCGAGGGCCAGCCGCACTTCCAGCTTGACGTCGCCCATGTTTCTGTCGCCCACCTCGTACGTCACGTTGCGTATCTCGTCGAAAAAAACCCGGCGGCGCTTGCTTGGACTCTCGGGGGGCTCGGGGGACTCGTCGGGACCATGGTGCAGCTCTTTCCTCCTCCCCAGAACCGAGACGGGCTTGAGGATCGACTTGACTGGAGTTGCGGTCTTTGGTAGCGGACCAGACAGGGCCCTAGCGTTGGAGGTGAAGGGTCGCATCAAGATGGCCCCGTTGAGCGCCTCAGCACCAGGCGGTGGCGACGTCCCGGGGCAGCGCGTGCAGGTCTAGCCTCTGGTCATGAAACGGCCGCCTGCTTCTGCGAGGAAATGATGCCGGGGGTCAGGCGTCAGCTGTAGCCGGAACGATATCAAATGTCTCTAGGGCGGTGGGTTCGAGGGTTCGGCTTGCTTTTGTGAACGGACTGGAGTTCTCTGTTGGCGAGACGCCCTCATTTTTTTCCTCTTTCGCCAATCCGGGCAGGGATGTGCCGGAATTTCTTTTATCCGTGGAAAAGAACGGGGCCGCTCGCACGTGCCTCGTTGCCTTGAAGAGATGTCGATGTTGAAGGTACTTGCAGGTATGGCCACGTGAGTGAGCTCAGTACGGGAAGCACGGAGAAGCACGAGCCCGCATCGATGGTAGCCTGTACATGCCACAATGCGCGACGCAGCACAAACCAAATACCTCCATCACCCACCACCGGCATTCACATCACCACCAACCTCAACTACATGGAAAGCGTCTCCAGGCCTCGGGCCATGACACAAAAACGGATGCACTGTAGCACAATCGGAACATTGTCACACGCTGTGGCTGACGACGCTTCAACCTGTCAATGCAGGCTTGAAGCCTCGTTTCGCATGGGGCGCCCGCCAAATGTTTCACGTCCCTGTCGCTCTCCTCGCCATCTCACCACTTGCTTAACGACTGTGTCTGCGAATGCGCCCTTGAGCGCCTACTGTGCGATATCATCATCGCCTAGCCACAATTGGGTGCGAGCCAAGCAAAAAGAACCCCTGCAGAATATATGTTGTTCTGTCTCTGTGCCGGCAGTTGCTCGTCCGCCAGGCCTGTTGAACTGGGGCGCCGCTCAGGACCGCTCCTGAGCCCGCCACTAAGCCCGATAATAAACAAAGGAGAATCTATCATATGGATAATCCGGTTGTCAGCAAGAAGGATGATTCCCTTTTCTTGGAAGCCGTCTTTCCAACCCTGACCCTGTCCAATCGACTCGTTGCCTCCAAGCACGGATCGTCTGCTCCCTGGCAAGCCAACCTACATTATAGGCGCCGCCTATACTCGTACATATTCAGCCGTCCATCAGAACCCATTCTGGTCGGGTGGGGACTGCCGAGCCAACCACCACTCAATCTTCCGAAGTCGTCGACACTGCCCTGCCCTCAAATGGTCTCTGCTTCCGTCAGTCAATGGGCCAGAGTTCCTTCCCGCACCGAGCAGACCTAGTATCCTTCTCCGGCGCCAGCACCGTTGTGTGTGGCGTGCGAGCTGTACATGTAGTTGGGATCCGCACCACCGTCAGCGTTGGCCGACCCTTCGGCGGCGTAGTCCCCACCAGCAGACGAAGGCTCGCCTTTTTCGCCAGGCATCATAGAGCTTCCCCAGGTGTTTTCCATGGCCCTATCCCTGTTCGATTGGTTCTGTTGCTTTTGCAGGTGTCAGCACAGGCGCTTGATCTTAGGACGCGGTCGGGCGAGGCGGAGAGACGGTACCTCGCGGTACTTGGAAAGATAGACTTTCAAGGCCTCGGCGTAGTTCTCGAATCCTAGGGAAGTCATGGCAAACAGGATGTCCTCGCCATTGACGGTTTTCCGCTTTTCCTGCTGGCATTTCTCCGAGGCTGGTTTGCGTCCGAATTAGCCATTGAAAACCCGACATGGTGAGACAAAGAAAAAGCGTGTATGATATGACGAGCGCATTTGGGGGGCGGGTGGGGAAGAGAGAAATAGCAGGAGGGAGAGATGAGTTGGAAGAGACGGAGTTCATCTAAGCCTCAGCTCTGGCTCGTTGCACTCTATTGAAGTGTACTTACCTTCACTGGTAATGAAGGAGATGAACTCGCTGACGCACTCCTGCATGCACTCCTTTGCCTCCTTCGCTATCTTTGCATTGTCGGGCAAGGCGTTCTTCATGATGCGAGCGACTGGAGCAAAATTGCGAATATTAGCGTCAAGCTCATCGGCCTTGTCGAGCCTGGGGCCGCGAGAGGCCTCGGCCGGGCTGGTTGACGAATCGTGAGCCATGGCCGGCGCCAGATGGATATGCGAGGCTGATGTACAAAAGGACGGGCGTGGAGGGCAGGCGAGCAAATCACGGCCAAGCTCGAGGGGGAGGGGGGAGACTCACCATTGGCTATGGGAAGCCACCTATCCTGCTCTTTAACGCCCTCGAACTCGTAGCTAGCCAGGCCGGCAGACTGTGTGTCCTGAGTCTCGTTCATTTGTCCTTCCTCGTCGGGTGACTGTGCACCGTGGTCGACATCCTTGGGAGGAGATTGGGGGGAGTCCGACATATTTGGCTACCTGCAGCGGATGCTGGCGTCGGCGGGAAGAGTGCTTTCGGGCTGGCACAGCGGGCTGGGTCCTGCTGGCGATGATGTGTCCCCTGGCCACGTCGCAAGAGGGCAAGGTAGGGCTTGCAAGTATCCGGCCTGGGGTGGCTCCAGTTGCCGGATGCTGCACGAGATGCGTCAACCACGACGGCAGTCGTGCACGTTGGCTGTGCCTGGCCCGGTGTCTTGGAGCAAATGGTGCCTTGCCGTTGGGCGTATATGGAGCTATGGATGTAGGTGGTGTATAGCCAAGGCAGATAATGTATCTTGCTCGCTTTGTTGATGGTCGGGGTTGGGAGACGATGGTTGGCGATCACCCGGCGTGGGAGGGGGTGCGCATGGATGGGGGGGGCCGGCAAGAAGCAGACGAAGAGCGAGCAAGCAAGCAGGAAAGCAGGAAAGCAGGAAGCAAGCAACCTCCACACCAACAACAACAACAGCACCACCACCACGGGCTCCCTAGCCGGACGACCGACGTACTTCTGGGCTGTTAGTGTATGCGATTATGACGGGCTGTATGTAGTGTGGCGTGCGTGTGTGCGCGCGCGCGCCTGTAATGTGTATGTGTGTGTGTGTGTGTGTGTGCGTGTGTGCGCGCGCGCGTATGTGATGTGTATGGATGCGGCACAGGCCGGGCAATTGGCAAAGGGTACATACATACAATCGTTGGGAGCGTCTTTTTCCCCCCTTCCTTGTTCGCTGCCAGACACGGAGGAGTCAGCCTAGGTATGTGGGAGATGTCGGGGGCACAAAGCGGACGGAGCGGCTCGAGAGACAGGGCGTCGCGAGACGGATTGCGACGGCGATGCCTTGTCACACTGAGGCGCAACGTCTGGCCGGGTCGCCCGAGCCGCCAATGCAGACGAGAGGGGCGTAGCAAGAGAGGATTGGATCAAGCGCACCGGGTCTCGCGATGGAACCTCGCAACGGGCGTATCGGCAGCGTTCGGTCGCGGCGCAGGGGGGGCGTTGAGGCGGCCGTGGGTTGGATGTGCGGGAGCGAAGTTGAGGAAGCTTGACGCGTCTTGAATTGAGCGTTGAGGCCAGATGATTATTGTTAGCGGCCTAACAGTCACATATTCGTCAGTTCACCTGGCCTACTGCCGGGGTGGTCATCCGCTAACGCTCACACCCCTTCTACCAGCTTCGGCCAGCGCTACTCCATGCCTGGTAAAAGCTTGCAGGGCATCCACGTGCATGCAGTTTCGTGGGCATGCTGTCTCCCAGTCCATGTCCATATATTCCCGAGTCAACGTCACAAAAGTAGAGCGAGGGCTTGGACACATTGATAGTGGCCCATCCGTCCGGCCTTCTCGCAGTGCCGCAGCGTCTATCGATAAAGAATGGATTAGGCCGAAAGCTGCCAAGCACAAGGTGGTGGTGCCTGTTATGGGCTCAGCACCCTGCGCAATGCTACGCTCACGGAAGTACCTACTGTACCGGACAACCTCACCTCTGCCAGGTACGACAACAGGGGCCTTGGCTTTCGTGCCAGCTTTCATCTCCATCCACAACGGCTACCCGGTCCAATGCCTTAAATCTTGGCCAAGGTTAACTGCTTCAACCTCACTGCCACCACGCCCAGGCTTCGGTTCCACGACAAACTGCCTGCCCGCGCAATCAGCCCTCGTCAGTCGCTCCGTGGCCGCCCCAGCTTGCTGCACTGAGGCGTCGCTCAACCCACGCCCTGTTGGCACAAACAGGTTCTCTATCCAAGCCGAGCCGGCATGGCAGACCACGAGCTGCTAGCCCACGTGGTGCATTGAAGCTTCTCACCCAGGCGCTCAAAGCAAACTACGCAAGTGCGTGACAGCTGCTTCACCGCAAACCCGTCGATCAGAATAGCTGTTGCTCCATGGATTTGGTCGGCCGAGGCGCCCCCCTGCGGCGGTCAGACAGGTGAGCCTTGGCCCGAAAGCGTTTCTGCAACGACAGGGCCCAAGACCAGCAATGCCCGCTTATTCGACCGTTCTCAGCCAAAGACTGAGCAGACGCCGCCTGGCGTTCGTCGTGAGCATGAATGTGAGCGTTCCTGGGAGGCCTGTTCTGCAACCTGCCGTGTTTTCGGTAGCGAACCAGAGCCAGCTCCTCGAACCTCGCCATCTGCAGACAGGGTTGGTGATTTATCTTACATACCATTCGTCTCCTGCAGAGCCAGACCGACAGTTCATGTGTGCGGCCCAATGTCCAACAAGAGCCCCCTTGTTTCGTGGCTTCCGGGGGCTCCAGGTGTTGGCCAGTCGTTGAGCTTGCTCTTCGTCAGTTTCAAGGGATCCGACGCAAGCGAAGGCCCCCTCTTCGCACAACTTCACCTCCCGCCAGAGAGGAATCTTGCAAATCACAGGGCGCCCGGCTTGAGTTGTACTCACACAGCGGCGGGGATAGCTGCGTCTTTTTCTCGAGAGCGTCTCAGGCCGAATCAGGAGAGTTGCTCGGCTCACTGCCTAAAGCCGGGAGACACATTCTCTGGCCCTCATGGACGAGCGTTGCTGATCACCAGTGAGCTAAGCCTATCCCATCGGGCTGCATCTTCAGCTCCTAGACCATGTCGACCGCACTGTTGCCTGCCGTCTCTGTTCGAGTTGTCGGCTTCGTTCAACTCCCATTGACTGCACGCTCGGCATCCACAACAGTTTTCAAGGTATTACCGTACTTGCGTCCTCTCGGGATAAGACACTGGATGACGCCCTGCATTCTCTAGACCTGCATACATACGCCAAGGTCCGAAAGCGGCACACACAGAGAACTGCAGGCGTCAGGGGCTTCTCTCGTGTTGCAAGTATGTACATACACGAAGCAAGCATCCAAGCAGGCAAGCGGAATTCTGACGCACTTGGAGCCCCCCCGCCTAGCGGCGCTGATGCCTGTGTCGTTTGGTCATTTGTGACGCAATGCCAGGTGCTGCACAGGAGAGCATCCTTCCAGAAGCTATGTGTTTTGGGGCGTGGCCTCAAGTGTCATCGCCGCACTCCCTGCGTGGACCACGCTCAGGTGGCGCTTCAACGGGTGCAATCAGACCTCACTAAGCCGCTGCGCTGCGCATGCAAGTGTCGCTATGGCTTATGACGCGGGGTTTGGCCTGCTTGTCAAGCATGGCCCAGCGCCAAAGGCCAGTGAAGACCCTCTCAGTGAATCTCAGGGCGAGTGCCAAGTAATTTGGGCAAGATCGGCTCGCCGCGTTCCAGGAGGCTTGGTCGTCTGAACCATGTGTACTGTGCGGCTTTGCAGTGCAGTGCATGGATAGGATGGTCTCGTCTGCTCCCCTCATCACATAAAGTGCCGTGATTGACTGTTGGCCCGGCTGCTCCTCTGGCATGACTGTGCCGAGTGCTGGGATGTCGGACATTGTCATCGTCTCACGCTTTCGGCATGCCGTCACTGGACGACAAATCTGCAAGGCTCACTCAGCTCACCCACCACCTCCGCATATTGTTGGCTGTCAAGAATTTTGATCTTCGTCCAGGCTGAGGCCAAGAGCCACGGCAGGCCACTGGACCTTGATTTACGACCGGTGAGCCACGGATGGCATGAAATGAACAGTTGCCGGGAACTGCATGCCGTTGGGCATCGAGACGCCCTTGCCGCCGGGCTCCACTGCATCCAAGTGTACAACGCATCGATGCCGGCTGGCTCCTGGACAGCCCGCGGAGAGATAGGGGGCCCAGGATCCCCCGTAGGAACTGCAGCCAGCCCGGAGTCGAAGGCATACATACAAAGGCGAAGCATCGTCTTTCGTTGCGCGCATTTCCGCCGGCTTGGCGGGCGCAGAGCGGGAAAGAAGAGAGCTTCGGTACCCTTGCGACCCCCAAGCTGGAAGCTTCAGCGTGTCACCGATCCACGACGACCTGAACGAGGCGTGCTTCGCGTGTGGCAGCAAGGAGGTAGAGATGGAAGGACAACTCTTCAACCGATCAAAGCATCCCCGTGTGCGCAATTCAACTAACGGTCTCACTGCTGCACTACCTGTACATTATTTTTCTTCTGTGATTGAGTCAGCAGAGGCATTCTCGACGGGCCAAGGATGAAATCGGCGACAAACCTTCCACTTGTCGAGATCATCCTGCTTGGTCTTGTATTGCTTGACCAGGTCGTCGAGCACCTTTCTCAGCCCCTCCTGGTTCGTCTTGAGGGCGGGCACCACATCCTTGACGGTCCTCTCGACCAAGACGCCATTGATCAATCGGAAGCATTTGCGATTCTCTGACAGCGGCTCCAGCGTTTCCAAAACAAGCCTAGCATGTCGACAGACAGTATAAGCGGTGAGAGTCCTCCGAGCGGTGAGGCGTCGAGAAAACGCAACTGCCAGCCGGGCAGAATCGCGGGACCGAGAAGGCCGTCGGTTGCCGCCCGGCTCGCGCGAGCCCATGGCGGTTTTACCGGGGTTATGAAGCGGAAGGGGGAGGGATGAGCAAAGACGGACCTGTGTTCTTCAGCTTCCTGCTCGATATCCCCAATTTTTTGGGCGATTTGCTGGAGTGTGTTCTTGTAGTTTGAGTAGGCCGTCTGCAGATCTATTGAAAACAAGACATTAAGCATGACCGTCGCACAGGCAGCATCATCCATCATGAAGCAATGTCGAGGGAACCCACCCTGCTGCTTTTTGGCAGGTGCCTGCTGCTGCGCCGACATTGCGTCGAGGGGAGCCGCTGGTGTCCGAGATGGATTGCGTAATTCACAATGCTGAACGACGACGGGCGAGAAGCGTTGCCAACCGGTAGATGAATTCGAGGTTTTTGATGGCTCGAGAGTGATGCTCGGTCAGTGTGGAGAGAGAGCTGCGCGCACTGTGGGCTTCGCGCTCATTGTCTGGGTGGTCCAAGCGTCTTTGCTAGGTACGCAGTTTGGCGGTGTCTGCCATCCTGCATTGCCACCTCGACTTGGGCGCGCGCAAAGAGAAGAATCAAACAAACCCCGAACCCCCCAAAAGATGCATCCGCATCTACATACGAAGAACGCTTTGGGTACGACTGCTCCCCCTGAGACGGCGAGCGAGCGAGGGCCTCGGCTGACTGGCGGTCCAGCGTGCGAGGACATCATCGCCGTGCTTGAAGAGTGCCACTCCAAAGGCTTCATGCACAAGGCCACCGGCGGCTGCAACGGCGTCAAGGACCAGGTCAACAAGTGCCTGCGCGAAGAACGGAGCAAGATGCAAGCCGAGAACAGGGCCGCCGCCAGGGCCAAGCGCGACCGAATCAAGGAGGAACAAAAGGCACTAGGCCTGTGATTGAGGCCCGGCTCTATCCCGTACATCGACGCTGGCTCTATTACATGGAAGCAGGGTGCTATCCAGGTACGAATACTACACGAATCGAATCGACATTGAGAGCTGTGGACGAGTCCAATTGTAAGCTGAACAATGTAAAATACAGAATCTGACTATGGAATGAATGGCGTGAGGTTTTCCAATACAGACACCATCCTCCGTTACCGTCACAGCTGCTGTCGGTACGCGTTGCCAAAGGTGAGCATGCCAAATGTGGACAGGACACTGAGAAGGATGGGGACGGGCTTCTTGAGGCGGATGGCGCGGGGAATTGCAGAGCCGCCGAGGATGACGGAGGCGAGGAGGCTCAGCTCGATGCCGTAGGGCTGGCGGCTCTGCAGGCGGTAGCCGCCGAAGCCATCTGGACGAAGTGGTCAATATTCAACAGTCTGGGGAGATGAGGGTTGGGCGTAGAGAGAGCGCACAGAGAATGCCGACGGCCGATCCAGCAACGAGCGAAGGGACGGAGCGCGTCCTCACGTAGCCCATGATGCCGCCGCCGGCAGTGAGCGCCGCGAGGACGTAGGACGAGAACTCCAGCTGTTGCGACTGTCGGCGGGTGCCGTGTCAGTGACTATGCTGCCAGGGTTGACAAGAGCCTTACCATGATGAAGCTGTTGCTGCTGCAAATCGAGTATCCCCAGAATATCAGTAGAACTGTGGCTTTCCGGAGGCAGATCTCGGAGGCGAAGCTGAAAGCTGTTCGGTTCCTCGGAGCAACTGACGACATGGTGGGGCTCCAGCGACTGAGCGGCGGCATTTTAGTGCGTGCTCCGCAGCCAATCACAGGACTGCACTCCTCCCGGGGTAGCTCTCTCGTACCTTACGTGGCCCGACTGCGATACCTCTCCAATTCCAACCTGTCGCGACACCCTCACGCCAGACCGAAATCAATCATTCAGCCGTCGACCCAGCATGGCTCCCAAGAAGAGCGCCCGCGAGCCCACGCCCTCGTCCGTCGTCACGTCCCAGGCCGGCACCACGGCTGCCCGCTCCGCCCCTCCGCAGTCCTCACCGACGGCAAAGGGCGGTGCCGCAAACTGGGACCAGGTGCTCCGCAACATCTACCAGTACTACATGAAGCAGACGCCCCAGCGCACAAAGCTCATCGATGCCTTCCTCTTCTTCCTCGTCGTCAATGGTGCCCTGCAGTTCTTGTACTGCGTCCTCGCCGGCAACTACGTATGTGCCAGAACGGCTTCCCGACCAACCTTCAATCGCTCCGCAAAGAGAAAGGCGGAATACCCCGTTTCTCAGAGAGCTAATGTCGTCCACCTACGCAGCCTTTCAACGCCTTCCTCTCCGGCTTTTCCGCAACTGTCGGCCAGTTCGTCTTGACGGGTAAGGCACACCCCTACTCGGCTGCCTTCTTTCTTCGTTCAAGTACTCACTCATCGCAGTCTCATTACGATCTCAGACGACCGAATCCAACAAGAGCGAATTCACCGCCGTTTCCCCAGAGAGGTCGGATCCTGGCCCACGCTCGCCGCAAGCTCCCGTGCTGACCGTGTCCACCTCCGCAGAGCCTTTGCCGACTACGTTGCCTGCAGCCTCGCGGTGCATTTCTTCTGCATCAATTTCATCAACTAAAAGGCCCCGTACTGGCCAGAACAGAGGAAGAAGAAAATCCGAGTGGGAATGGGAGTTTACAAGGACGGTGGATAGATTGTACGATATGCAATGTCATCACACGCCGGCAAGAGCCTGCCAATGGAGGCGCCAAATTGAGATTTGTTCAAGGGAGAATGGTCGCTGTCGCCCTGCCTCCTCCGCCTCACTCGCCACCGCCTCCTTCTGCCACCTCTTTTGCGTCGGCTTTGGGTGGCCCTCCAGCTGCCTTGGGTGGCGGAGGCACCCCGGAACTTTTTGGCTTGGGCGCATTGTCGAGCTCACGGCTCTTTTTCTCCTCTTCCTTGAAGTAGTCATCCATCAGCGGGTTCGGGCTGTGACCGTGACGCTCCTTCTTCTTTGCCGTTCCCGTCCGTGGTGGGCCTCCGGTGGGTGCTGAGTCAACCATCTGGGCTGGGATGAGATACTCGCCTCCGGGCGGCAGAGGGAGGGCCGAATCGCCCAGCACAGCTGTCCTTTCGTTCTTCTCATTCACGTCGCCGTCGAACATGGTCTCCCCAGGCGCATCGACGGGCTCACTCAGCGGAGCTGGTAGCCGGTGCAAAGCCCCGTAGCCAAGGATACACCCCAGAGCTCCCTCACCGCCCCAGCCTCGGCTTGGTTGTATGGTAACCTCCCTTGTGACATTGTATTCGTTGTTGTAGACGTGCAGGCGCAAGGGTCTGCCGATGTGGTCCTCGACAAGCTCCCCAAGAGCCGCTTCGCCGTGGAGAGCTCCCTCGGGGCTCCCGAGAATGTAGTCGCTGTAAGGCAGGAGGGCCGCGTGATCGGCGGGAGAGTTTGCGGCGACGTCGAGTACGTGCCAGACGTTGGCGGCGAGGGCAATTGGCGAGTACTGAAGGGACAGCCCGAGTGACGCGGTGTCGCTGGGGACAGGGACATGCATCTCTCTCGTACGTTGGCCCTGGATAGGTGTCAGCGGGAGCCGCGATCCGTCCGCACGCGACCTGTAGATACCTTTGCATTCCAAAGACCCAGTGTTACGGTGCTGCCGGCGCAGTTTCGAATCTCTTGGGCGAACAAGGTCGGATCGGGGTTGTCCTGCCGTCATGTAAGTTGGATGCTGCTGGCTCGACCGCAAAGGGAGGACGGGGAAGGGCTTCGCACAATCGGTCTTCCGTTGATCCCTACTATAAAGTCGAACCACGGCTCTATCGCAAGGTCCAGGTTGGTGTTTCTCAGCACCTGGAAGCCAAAGGAGCCTCGCTCGTGCTGACGTTGCTGTTGTTGGTCGCCGCCATCGAGGCGGGACATGAACCGGTTCAGCGCGTTGAACATTGTCCTGGGGCCCTCGGCGGGCTCGCGAACGTTGCCGGGCCAGTAGTCGGATTTTTTCGAGCGTATCTCGCAGGTGTGGTGTTCGCGACGCGGCCGTAGTAGGTGGTCGAGGTGACGGGACCGCGATGTTGGAGCAAGCTGTCCATCCCTCACGAGACAGGTGCCCCATCGTCTGCGCTACAGGCAGACGTGACCCTGATCCTAGTGCGGCTTGAGCATGTATCTTTTCACCGACCACGGGTGACGAGGTACAAGGGGACATGGAGCTGCAGTGGGCCTATCACCCCTTCCAGTTTGCCAGGTCAAAAAGTCAGAAAGTCGTCGTCTCACCTCTTCAACATCATTGCTCATCGGCTCACAGCTGCCACCCGCCCGTCTCCCACAATGAGGGGAAGCGGCTTGGGAAATGAAGGTGTCTCCCGAGAAGATCCGGCCGCTGGATTTTCTATGGAGCCTGCTCTGAGGCTCCCTCTGACCGCCGAGTGCAAGCATTACACCGGCAAACATGAAGTTCCCTGGGACAATCAAAAGTACGTGACCAGATGAGGCCCAGGGCGACTTTGACTCACCAGTCTCTCAGGTACTTTGCGCAGAGGTTTTCCATCTTCTCGCTCTACGACCAGGGCGTCCATCTGACCGACGACGCTTGGTTCGGCGTCACCCCTGAGCCAGTCGCACGGTGAGCCTCCCCATCCTGGCGCGTCTCCAGGGTCCACGGCTCACGTCCTGTGCTTCTGTTTCACTGCGCAGCGAGGTTGCCCGCGATCTTGGTGGCACCAATGAAAAGAAGAAGATTCTCATCGACGCCTTTGCGGGCGCTGGAGGAAACACCATCGCCTTCGCCCTGAGCGAGCGCTGGGAGCACATCGTTGCCGTCGAGCGAGACGCCTCGACGCTTGCGTGTGCACAGCATAATGCCGAGGTATACGGCGTCGACCCGTCTCTCGTCACCTGGGTTCTCGGCGACAGTTTCGAGTACGTGGACGCCTTAGTTCATCGCCGGGATCAGCTGCACCCCGACCTGCGAGTCAACGTCAAGACATCCGTCTTGTTTGCCAGCCCACCCTGGGGTGGCCCTGGATACACATGTGACAAAATTTTCGACCTGAGCACCATGCAGCCGTATAATCTCGAGCAACTCCACGGCGCGTACCAGGCAATGGACCACGGGCTTTTCCTGCCGCGGACCAGCGACATCCGACAGATTGCGAAACTGGCCCCCAGCGACCGCAAGATTTCCGTCGTACAATACTGCATGCAGGGAGCCAGCAAAGCCATGGTCGCATACATACCTGCCAAAACAGCCGACTCTCCCGACGAGAGCCCAACATTGGTCGGTAACTACTCTAGCGGTCAAGTCCGCGAGTCAAGTCGCCCCGGACACGACTGAGCTGTGACCTCGGAGCCCTTGGACTGACGCTCCCGGGGCCCAGGCACCCAAATGCACGACACAAGACATGGGCGAGCCCGCTGACTAGGTCGTTCCACTAGAGCTCGTCGTTGAAGTCATGCGTCGACCACAGTCTTCCTCTTTCACGAACGGGCAGGATCGACGATTGGAGGATAGCCACAGCAGTAGAGATGACCCAGCAAAATTCCGGTCTTTGAAGAGCGCCAGTCTGGCCACTGAACAGTATGACCGTCAGATCTGTTACGATCATGGTTGACCGAAGACACTGACGAAATGTGCTTCTTCGACATAGCAAGCGGTCGTCCCTGGTCTTCCCTGTTATTGCGTGAGGAAGACGGTTTTGGCCCTTTTGATTCCTTGTTGCGGTTTAGGAGATTCGAGTAATGCAGGGGGTGGTCAACCGCTGAGGCGCATTCGTTCCCCTTTCTCGGTTGATCCGTGACTCATTCACGAGTTCCAGAAAACTGTCTGTGAGTCTCACTTGGTCATCGGACATGGTCGACAGAGGACGCCAAGTCTCAAACTGAAGCGCCCGCGGACAACAGTGAAACTGTCGAGTGACGGCGAAGCGTCGTTGGAGTGATTTTGGAGGGATATTGTGGCCGTGTTACAGCGTGGCTTTCAACCAGAGCTGTAAGGGGTTATGGCGTCTAGAGGGATAGAGGAAACGCTCATGACAGGTTTCTGGTTGCAGTCTCGGCGCTGAGAGAGAGCTATTAGTGTTGGACGCCTTTTGCCTACAGTCGTCAGTGCTTGCTGCTAAGGAATGTCTATGACGTCCTAGAAGAGCGAGCTCAAATTCGAATTGTTTGCAGCCGATGCTTGACTTTGTCCTAAAACGTGCCGCAGGCTACTTTTTGGGTTGAAGCCCAATGGGTTGCCTTGCGGACGAGACAGTGGCGGAGAAGTAGCCCAACCTAAATAGAACCACGGCCCGAGAACTGCCTATGACCCGGTCATATGTTCAATAGACATCGGTCACCAAATGTGGCTTCATGCTTGGTTTGAATTCGACAAGAATCGGCGCTCTGCTTTCAGATGTCGTTGATGATAAGGCTGCAGGAGAGTAATCATCTCCTCACTGGGGCACAAGGAATAAACCTCTCCGGCCTGGTAGATGCTAATGGAATTTCCTCCTGTGGATGATCCATCAGAAAATGCTTCGAATTGTAGCAAGCATGGTGGTGGATGCACGGAGTTGGCTTGTGGGGAATCAAAACACAGTTTGAGCTTGGATCTTCCGATACTGTACAGTTCTCTCATGACCACTCGCCCGCATCCACAAGCTTGACCCTGACACGAGATATCAAAAAACAGTCACCATGGCCAAGGACAAGAAGAAGAGTGCCGAGTCGAAAAAGGCGAAAAAGGTGGATTTTCCCCCTCGGCTTTCATGCGTCGACGACTTTGCACACTGACGACGACCATGACAGGCCGAGAAGGCGGCCAAGCAGGCCAGCAAGGGGGAGAAAAAGGCCAAGACCAAGGCGGCCCGGGTCGAGGGCAGCGATGCCGAGGACGTGGACCTGGACGAGGTGCTCGAGGAGTATCGCCGCCAGCAGGAGCAGTTCCTCAAGGTGACGGAGACGGTGTGCGAGGGTCCGCCCCGGCCTCGTGCGGCCTCGACGCTGCTGGCGGCGCCGCACGACAGCAACAGCCTGCTGCTGTTTGGCGGCGAGTACTTCAACGGCTCGCTGGCCCAGTTCTACGGCGACCTGCACATGTACAACATCGCCCGCGACGAGTGGCGGTGCGTCACGTCGCCCAACTCACCTCTGCCGCGGTCCGGCCACGCCTGGACCCGGGCCAGCAACCCGAGCCACGTCTACCTCTTTGGCGGCGAGTTCTCGTCGCCCAAGCAGGGCACCTTCCACCACTACTCGGACTTTTGGCGCCTCGAGCCCGCCTCGCGCGAGTGGTCCAAGATCGAGGTCAAGGGCAAGGACAAGAGCCCGCCCGCCCGGAGCGGCCACCGCATGACCTACTGGAAGCAGTACATCCTTCTCTTTGGCGGCTTCCAGGACACGTCCAACCAGACAAAGTACCTGGCCGACCTCTGGATCTTCGACACGGTTCACTACATCTGGCACTGCCCGGTCCTGCCCCAGGCCCAGCTCAAGCCCGACGCCCGCTCCTCCTTTACCCTGCTGCCCTGCGACCAGGGCGCCGTCCTCTTCGGCGGCTACTCGCGCGTCAAGGCCACCGTAGTCCTCAAGAAGCGCGGTGGCAAGGCGCAGGGCCTGGGCCAGAAGAACGTGCTCCTCCCAAAGGTCCACGATGATTGCTTCTTCCTGCGCATGTCCCTGCCGGCGGCCGACGCGGGGCCCGGCGCCCCGCCCACGGTCCGCTGGGAGCGGCGCAAGAAGCCGGCAAACGCGCCCAACCCGTCCCGCGCCGGTGCCACCATGACGTGGCACAAGGGCCGCGGCATCCTCTTCGGCGGCGTCCACGACGTGGAGCAGAGCGAGGACGGCATGGACAGCGAGTTCTTCAACCAGCTGTTTGCGTGGAACGTCGAGCGCAACCGCTTCATGCCCCTCGGCCTTCGCAAGCCCCGCCAGCAGAGGAAGACCGTGCCGGAGCAGCGGGCGGGCCGCCGCGGCCGCGCCCAGGCCAACGAAGAGGAGCTCCTGCGGCAGCTCGCGGCCCTCGAGACGGGGGCGTCCCTGGACGACGCCGACGGCATAGAGCTCGAGAAGAAGCCCGAGGAGCCGCAGGAGGACGAGCAGCCGGCCAGAGAGATGCTCGTCAGCATGGACCCGCCGCACGTGAGGTTCAACGCGCAGCTGGCCGTGCAGGACGACGTGCTCTACATCTACGGCGGCACGTTTGAGAAGGGAGACCGGGAATTCACGTTTGACGACCTCTACGCAATCGATCTGAGCAAGCTCGACGGGTGCAAGGAAATATTCAGCAGGCCTGTCGAGGACTGGATCGTGAGTATTGCCCGCGCCTTTGCGCAGCGCATGGGTGCTAACGAACCACTGCAGGAGTCTGAGGACGACGACGACGAAGAAGAGGATGAGGACGACGACGACGACGACGAGGAAGACGAAGAGGAGGACGGCGACGAGGCAGAGCAGCAGCACACCTCGAGCAAGCGCAAGAAGAAGGACGACGCCGTCTCAGACACGTCTTCGGAGACGCCTTCGTCGGCCCCATCGGAGGAAGACGAGACGGAGACGGCCGCCTCGTCGGTGGACGATGGTCTTCCGCATCCACGAGTAAGACGGCCCCCCTTGCCCTTCCGTTCCCCTGCCCCCGGCATCCGGTGGCTAACCTTGCCTGGCGCAGCCCTTCGAGTCGCGGCGCGACTTCTTCGTGCGGACGTCGGCCGAGTGGCAGGAGGTGCTGATGACGAGCCTGCGGTGGAAGGGGGTGCAGCCGGAGCGGCTGGCGGTCAAGGAGATCAAGGCCAAGGCGTTTGAGCTGAGCGAGGAGAAGTGGTGGGACAGCCGCGAGGAGATTCTGGCGCTCGAGGAGGAGCAGGAGGCGGCGGGGATCCAGGAGGTGGTGAGCCTGGCCGAGAGGGGCGATGCGGCGGGTGCGGGTGCGGCGAGGCGGAGGTGAGGCGGGAGGCACGGGTTTTGGATATTCTCTCATGAGCCGCGAGGAATGAGCAGGTTGTCATGATCATGTGAAACCGTCACCCCGATAGTCCGCAGGAGCGCCATATGATGCTATCCATTCAAGAGCAGACCCCCTTACCTCCCAGCCCAACCCCGGGCATTCTCGCTCGCAACAACACATGACGGCAGCCACACGGCGCTCACAAAGAAACACGAATGAAAAGTCCAACCGAAGTAGAGGCTCCCTCATGAACCAAACTGCTTGACCATGGGCGGGTACGTCTTGCCCCCGACCTCGACGCCGGGCTCGCAGGTGCAGCGGTCGGCGACGGGAACGGCGTCCATGACGGCGGCGACGTGGCTGCCGCAGCCGAACCAGGTCGTCTTTTCTGATTGGGGAGTCTCGTGAGCTTTTGATTCCGCTTCGTTCCAAGGATGGCCGTGAGATCGAAGGGCAAGGTGATGAGGAAGAGTGAGGAGACGATGCTGGCGGGCTCGACTTACTGCAGGTGGCGCAAGTGGCTTTGCGGCACATGGTGAAATGGGGATGAGGGATGGCCTGTCTTTATGGGCAGAGTTTCGGGGTTGGCGAGGGTGGCTCTTGTTTTTCTTTCAGAGTCACGATGGCCAGGACCTTTTCCCTGCTGTTGGCTCGATGCGGGGATTGATTGTGCAAGGGGGAGTCACCTATCCGAATGTACTGGTGGTACCTTTGGATGCTCCGTGCGTTCAAGGTACTCGATGGGTACCTCGCCAGTCTATCAGACAGCATCGAGCGCCCTGTCGAGATTCAACTTCAATTCGCTTCTCATTGATGGGCGTCCATACCGTCCCTCATCCAACAAGCTCTCCTCCGAATGCAGCCGCTGGTCCTCGTCCTTGCCTTCTGCTGCGCATATATTCAAGAACATTTCCCTTAATGTCCCGCTCTTGCTTCTTCCCCCTCCCCCCCCCCTCTGGAGGCAATCCGGCGTGCGGCAGATGAACAGATAATGCACCGTCCGCTCCCCCGCTCCCCCCCTTCCACAAAGACATGATTCATAAAGATGCGTCGGGTTGAACGTCAAGGACAGACCGAGGCCCCGACGTAGCCAAAGCACCTCTCGGGCAGCGCTTACAAGTCCTCGACCGCCAGCTCGCCCGCCGCCGCCCGGGCCGTCTCGCTCTCGGCAATGGCGCGGATGAGGTTGACGGCCAGCTCGCGGCCCTGAGTGATGTGCCTCTCGGACGCGTCGCACGGCACGTGGAAGAAGACGGCCTTTCTTGGCCGCTGCTGTTTCAGCAGGGTCGACAGGGTCGAGTAGTAGATGAAGTCGCACAGGTACCTGCCTGCGTCTTCCGAGATGCGCAAGTCCATGTCCTTCTGCTCGACGGTCAGAGGATAGGGCGGGTCAGGGGAGGGGACGGCGACCTACCGAGCTGTGTCCCTGCCACCGCTGCAGGACGTTGTCCAGGTCCAGGTCCGTCTCGATCTCGTCCGGCAGGCCGTGCCAGATCCAGTCGTCGCCGCGCTTGGCCTCGTCCTGGTCGTCGAGCTTCTTGCCGTCGACGTCGGGCGACGCATAGCCCGTGCGGTGGGCCTTGCGCTCGATGTGGTAAAAGGGCCGCGGGCCGGCCATGCCGATGTGAATGGCCACGTCGACGCGGCGGCCCTGGTACGTGTCCCAGAAGGCGGGCACCAGCTCGCGCACGGCCTCGTAGCTGACGCGGACCGGCTCCGGGTGGACGAGGATGCGCACCGGGGGGATGTCGACGGCGCCGGCGCCGGTCCGCCTGTCCTTGGTAAGCAGGGCGGGCAGGCGGGCGGGCAGGCCCTTGGCAATCTCCCAGGCCGGGTTGACGGGGTATTGGTCACGGAAGGGCTGTCGGCGAGGGTCAGCGAGGCGGGCGGCGCGCCGGGGGACCCGGGGGTGACTTGCGCCAAAGCCGGTGACGAGCACCGTCAGCTCGCGGCGGTCGTTGCTCTGCGACCCCATGGCCACGCGCGGCTACAACGATGGGACTGGTGGTTCCGAGAAGAGCTGCCTGGGCCGGGCACGACGGACAGGGCGCGGCGGCGGGATGGGAGATGGAGGGTGAGGCCGGGTTCGCGGGTGACGATGATGCAGGAAGACGCTTCTCTCTCTCTCGCGGTATCTCTCGCGGTATCTCTCGCGGTCTCTCTGCCGGGCCCGCGGGCAGCAGTCAGCGCCCGTGGGGGAAGGGGGCAGCTGTCGGGCGGATCTGGATGCCTAAGATCGGTAGGTAATAGCCGAGTGGCCAGCCAGCCAGCCAGCACATGTCGGCTTGTTCTAACTTCTGCGTCGAGGGATTGATGACCAAACAAACGGGTGGCCTCGCGGTACGTACCCCAAGACGTTCCAGAGGGCTCCCCGCGTCATCTGCCCCATTACTGTACTTACTTCGGTAGTCTCCGACATGCCTCGGGTCATCATCAAACGAGTACGTATATGCTGTAAGATAAGTAAGTCGCACGTATCCATCGTCCATCGTCAACTGGCCTATATAAAATGCTCCCCTGCCATTCACCATCCAAGGGCGATTCAGGCATTAATAACAATACTCCGTAAATACTGCATTAGATAGAAACATGCATACAGCAGCTGGTGCTTGCCAATATTACAACTTATCGTACGATTGCTGACAAGTTTGGATATCAACCACTACGTGCAGCAGCATCTCTTGGCTCACTGAAGATAGTCGAAGCGCTGGAAGATATCGGAGCAGACATAACCACAAATGATAATAGCGCATTGACGCCCCTAGAAATTGCCGGGGATCGTGCCCACGATAAGGCTGCTCAGAAACTACGCCATAGAAGTGCCAACGCCGTAGACAAAGCTAACCAGCATGGTGCTTTTGCTCAGAAACTACTCCATGGAAGTGCCAACGCCGTAGACTAAGCTAACCAGCATGGTGCTTTTGCTCAACACGACGAAAATGGGGGAAACTCTTACGCGTCATGATGCAAGACTTCTGTTCCCACGCCACCATCGGCTGCCTGCTGAGGTGGTTTGCCGAGCCGCCACTCATATCCAGTCACCTGAAGGACGCCCCCGAGTTCGCGCACTCGGAGACTAGGGACTGAACAAGCTCCTCGCTCGCATTCGGTTGATTTCCGAGGAACTTGGACTCTGGTGCTGCCCTGGCCGGCGTGGTGCCAATCGAGTCTGTGCTGGATGCATCGGCCCATGTGCCCACAGAGCCTTGGCTACACCAATCGCGCCGTCTTCAGCTGTCCAGTGAAGCGGCGTCAGATCAGAGTCGACCAGCCCCCGTCCACCGTCGGCACGCTTCGTCATCTCTTGCACGTGAAACGCCCAGAGAGACCCGTGCGCGAGTCCACCGAGAAAAGAGCGTGAGCGTCGATGTCAGCGCCACCCAGGATGAGCTGCTCGGCTAGTTTGGCTCCGTCGCCGTCCTCGTCGCCGTCGGGGTAGAGCGCGAGGCAATTGATGTTTGCCTCGCCGACGCTGCTCTGGCGAGATACCATTAGTCCCCAACATGACCGTTCTCAACATTACTCGGTACCATGGACATGACCTCGTCCACCTTCTCGCCGCCATCAAGAGCCTCACTCGAAGCCCGAGTACAGGGTAGGACGACCGGCCACGAGCGCCTAGCCTGGAATCAGAAGTCCCGCCTCCGAACCCCGCGGAGCTACCGCGTGGGGACGTGGCCGCTTCGATTCTGGTCGAAGCTGATCAGGAGGGAGCTTGGAATGCCTCGAGACGACGCTCGCTGGCATGACCTTGGTCCGGAGATTCCCCTTCCACCCATCCAGAGACGACGGACTGCCTTTCGCGCGGCCTTGCTTATAAAAACTCGGTTCTCTGCCGTCGTCGTCACCGGCGCCTGGAGGCCTACAATCCAAGCCCCGAGACTCCCAGGCTTCCTCGACGACCCAAAGCTCGACCATGGGATCGCAACAGAAGTCTGCGCCGCCGCCGCAGCGGCACTCCTTCTCCGGCTTCCTCTTCGACATGGACGGCACCATCATCGATTCCACCACCGCCATTGTCAAGCACTGGCATAGGTAAGTCCCGCCTTCTCTCGCTGTTCTCTGCCGCCGTGGACTGACCAGGGTGCGCAACAGCATTGGCAAGGAGATTGGAGTGTCGCCCCAGATGATTCTGGAGACGTCCCATGGACGGCGGAGCATCGACGTCTTCAAGGCCGTGGCGCCGCACAAGGCCACCTGGGAATGTGGGTTTCTTCCCTGCGGCGCGCGCCCGATGAGCACCTTCCAGAGGCTCTCGCCCTCTCACACCCTCACTCACTCACTTTCAATCCCATGCCGAGGCATCGGCGCCGTCGTCTGAGCGGGCCGAAGAAACCCATCGGCTGACAGCAGCACAGACGTTAGACGGGTGGAAGAGCAGATCCCCTACCTGTACGCTGACGAAGCCGTCGAGATCCCGGGCGCGCGCCCCCTTCTCGACGCCCTCATCGCCCGGTCCAGCCCCTGGGCCATCGTCACCTCGGGCACCGAGCCCCTCGTCGCCGGCTGGCTCAGCGTCCTCTCGCTCGCCAAGCCCGAGCACCTCGTCACCGCCGAGTCGGTGCGCGACGGCAAGCCCGACCCGGCCTGCTACCTCGTCGGCCTCGAGAGGCTTGGCCTGCAGGCCGTCGCGCCCGACGTGCTCGTGCTCGAGGACTCGCCCGCCGGGATCCGCGCCGGCAAGGCCGCTGGGTGCAAGGTCGTGGGCCTCGTCACCAGCCACTCCCTCGAGCAGGTCGTTGCCGCTGGCCCGGACTGGGTCGTCAAGGATCTCGAGTCCGTCACCGTCGTTGGCCCGGCGGCCGACGGCAGGACGACAATCGAAATCTCCCACCTGCTGTACCCGCAATCGTAGATAAAAAGGGAGGGCAGATATTGAAGTCTGGCAGGCAGGGAGTTGACGATACTCAAGGGGCTCCCGGCCTGTTCTGTCCGTTACTATTGATTAGGAGAGAGATGGGGAGTTGGAGAGATGAAGTCGATCAGCAGGTCCGTCAGAAATCACATTCCAGCAGATTCAATAGACAATCCCTTTGTCAGGGCGTCTGGCGCCGAGCCAAGGACCGATCCACGTTCTACAGAAACGCAATTTGTGTTCATATCGGCCCCTCCCCGCCCTTGGAGATCAAAGTCAGCGGTTGAAGATGTTTCATAAGGACGTCATTGTTCTCATGGGGGCTTGAGCCGAACTTAACCTTGTTTCCCTAGTTAATTACTGGCTAGAGAGACGCATCTCGCGCTCCCTAACGCTCGCCTCTCCACCTTTCCCTCCCCCTCCCCATCATATCATCGTCGACCCAGCGTCTGTCGCGGCGCTTCTGCACCCTTTTTTCTCGTTGGCCCTCGCCGACCCAACGCCTGATGAAATTTCTTTCCTTCGCCCTGCGTGTGGGGTCTGCGTGTTGCCCGAGTCCATTTCCACAGGCCGCAGCACGCTGGATGCGCGCTCCACCTGTCTCCCTTGCAAAGACCTTATCCAGTAGGTGAAACAAGCTCGCCGACTGCTCCTCATCAACGCGCTCGTCGCGCTGGCAGCCACGCGCATGGATTCACACCTGCGGCTCGACACGTCGCGTTCGCGTAAAGCTGTGCGCAGAACCGACGCCGGCAAGGGCCGGCCGCCTGGTCGACGGGACAGAACCTTTAACCTGCGGCTATAGACTCGGCATGTGTCGCAAGGGAGAGGAGGCTTTGAGATTGGTCGACCACTTGCCTGCCCAATCTCGTATACCAGGCTGAGGATTCTCTGGCGAGGCCTCTACATCTCGCGTGTCGTCGTGCATGTGCCTGGGTCCTCGATGCCGGTTGGGAGGACAAGAATGGTCTTTCCCGGGTGCCCACATGCAAGCCCACAGAAAGATTCCGACCGTGGCGTTCATGAAGCAGGTACAACTGACTCTCGCGAGCCTCCCTCCTGTCTTGTGTATTCAGGATAGAGTAGGACCGACTTCGCAAAAGAGCCTTGAAGAAACATGGCCAGACAGGGGCGGCGCGGGCTGTACATACGAGGACGCAATTTGCCTCATGGTTGCACTGCGCGACCAGTCCCAGCTCGAAGGGCATGACCCGCCGAATAGGGCTCTTTTGCCTGTCCAGACTGGTGGGCGATAATCAAGGCACCCCGGGCGACATCTCGCGACCGAGGCCGCGTCCAAGTGAGACCCTTGCGCCGAAAATCACGAAAATCCCGTGCTACTGGCTCAATGCAGGGCTCCAGCCAAACGTGGATTGAGAGGAAAATACCGCAGCTTTCGGATCCCTGGAGGATTTGGTAGATCCGCTTCTGGCCTGCTCACTCTTCCACGGCCCTCGGCGGCCGGCAAGTTTACGGGGGCGCGAGGGTGGACAGTTCGGTCGGTTGCAGTCTGTCGGTGGCCAATGTGACGTCCGGCCGACAGCCGGCTGAGGGGAGAAAAGGCCGCGACGCTCGCTTTGCATCCCCGGGCCGGGGGGGACGTACAGTAGCATCTCTTGTACAGCACCGGCGCTGGTGCGCTTGGCGTGCGGGCCGTGGCTGTCACTGCATCTCCTGCTCGTCGTCGCTCTCCCACTGCCGAGGAGCGTCAAGCGAAGAGAGCACAGTATGACGCACCGTCGGATGCACCTAGTGTACAAGTCAGCCGCATGTGCTTGGTTGAGGCATATGCTCCGTTCGGCGTCCTCAGCTGCATCGTGAACCCCGGAAGTAGCCGTCGCGTCTCCTCGCCGTCCTGTTTCCTCGCCGTCAAGGATGAGAGGGTGACCGGAGACACCCGCCCGCCTGCGGTCGACCAACGGGTCCGCTGCCGGTGGACTCGCTGGGGCAGCAGCATCGTGGAGGCGGCGTAGCGACTCGGCTGGATGCTTCTCGACCAACTGCTGTCAGTCTCGGCCCAGAAGCGTCTTCAAGCAGAGGCCGATACATGTCGGGTAGCGAACCCCGGCATCTGCATCTCGTCAGACTCGACCTAGCCTTGCCTTGCAGCCCATCGGCCACAGCTTCGCATCGGCATGTGGCGGCACGAACAGGGGTGGCCTTTTTAGACACCTTCTCCGCACTTGTCGAGCTGTCGCCCGGGGCTGGGGCTGTTGCATGTACAAGGTACCGGAGCTGCACGTGCTCTGGAGCTCTTATGTACTGTCTCCGTAGGCGTAGGTACAGTCAGTATCTTAGTACCCTACCTTACCTTGGGCGCTCGAGGTACGTACCTACCTCCACCGCCTGAACACGCCCTTGTGGGTTGCGACGGAGGCGTCCAATCCAAGACGCCGGATGAGCCACGCGGGGGCCATCGCCTCACCTCTGCCTAGGTTCTGTACATATGTACCTGCTGGGGCTGCTAGATACCTCAGGTAGGTACCTGTGGCGCCGGCCAATATGTACACCTCAGTACCTGGGTGCACCGCGAGGCCAACGTCCAATCACAGAGCTCTGGTAATTCTCCGCGTGCCTCCGCGCCTGCTCTGTCCCTCCTGCAGCCTCGGTCGGGTACCTCTTTGGCCACCCCCCCACCTGAAGGAGGAAAGGTGCCTGCCGTGTTGCCAGAGGCGCTGCATCGAGAGACGCTGTGCCACCTCATCGTGGACTGATCATTAAGTGACGAGTCTGTCTGCCTGCTTCCCCGTCATCTCTCCCCGGCGTGCGCGCGAGTCCTGGGCCGCCTCTGGCTGGCCGCTGATGGAACTGAGGCTTTTTCGCAGCAAGTTGACCGACGCAAGCATGGGGCCATTCTGAGTACTACAGTATTGCACAGCCACACATGTTCACCACGTTCACCACTTGCCCCCGGTCGGGATGTACAAGGCAAAGCCAAAAGAGACCTCCTCGACGAGCCCACATTCCGCAGCCAGATCCCGTCAACACACGTGGCCAGCCGACACTAAGACCCTCGCCGTCCCTGACGGTGCGTCGAGCTTGACGAGTCGACGAGCCAACCATAGCCTGCAGCCGCCTCCGGGCCCCCCTGTTGACGGCGGGTTCTGGGCCTTTGGGCACAGGCGGCCAGGACCGACGGCGCCTATGAATAATGTGTGCGCGCATTGTCTTCATCTGCAATTTCGATGCCCTCATGGCAGCCTGTCTCATAGAAGTCTCACCCGGGACAAGAAGAATGCTTCTAGCGGCACGTTTCCAGTTCGAGGCAAATCTCAACCCTGCTTCACATCCAGCCTATCGCAGGCCCGAGGCGTGTCGTCTCGCATGGCGGCTGGACCATCACATCCCGGCGGGCGCGTCTGTACCGTATTGGACGAATCGGCAGACTCGTCTGCATCGCCCTTTGTACAGTACGGAGTACATGCCGCACATGTCCACTCCAAATGCCCGCATGCCGAGGGCTCGACAATCCCTCTTCTCCCACCATCAACCAAGGCAGTCGCCATGCGCCCGCTACTCATCGGCCACCCGGCGAGAGCACAAGGAGCAGGGCCGCAATTGAGTGCCAGCCAAGCAGGCTGATTGGGCCCTTGCGTCATGTTTTCCCCTGACCGGCCGGGGCCCCGGGGCCTGCGGGCTCAGCTCGTCCGAGGCTTCGGCAGTCGCTGAGACAGGCCCTTTTCGACGTGGTTTTCTGCCGGCGCCCGTCGCATGGCGAACTTCCCTCGGCTGAGGCCCAAGCCTGAACCCAAGCCATGGAGAGAGAGCCTTCTGTGCGCTGCTGGGGGGAGCGGGCCACCAACAAATGGACGGACTGCGACAGCAACGGCACGACGACCCAGACAGGAAGCAGACGTCAGCCAATTTGCGAGGTACGAAGGCAAGGGATCCGACATCTTGGTACGACTAAAGCAGCCACAGCGGCCTGCTCCGCACATGGTGCCCCGAGTTAGGTTGTATGCACAAGCTATTTTTGTAGCGGGTACGTGCGCAAATGTTTCGTGCTTGCGCCCGTCTCGTAGCCAAGGGCCCCCCCGTTCTTTTTCGTACTTGCGATTGCTGCGTCGTCCGATTTTCGCGGTGCGCCCACAGCCACCGTTCCCGACGCCGGCGCCAGCCGATACCCTGCCCCGGTCCTCCCAGGAGCCCGCTTCTACAAGCACCGCTTCTGCAAGCACCGCTCTCGGGCTGAGATGGCAGCAAGCAGGCGCGTCCTGCCCGGGTGGTGGGTGTGGTGTGTGGTGTGTGCATGAGTGCGGAGTATGTACTGTATTGTAACTTGCGTGGTCATGGAGACGGTCCAGATCAGACGTCTTGCCCAGGCAATCCATGTTTGTTTTCCCGCTGGGCTTAGTTGGCATCCCCTTGGCCCGATTGAGGCAGGCAGGCCGCTAAGACATGCAGCTACGGGATAAAGTCCTCGGTACGCCCCCCCGGCCAAAGACAGAGGTGAGCTGATTGCGCCCTGGTGGGAAAAGGGGCGGGAAAATAGAGAGCCTAGGAAAAGGAAGTCGTGCACCGGGTGACAAATCTTTCAGTACCGTCCGGCGTGCTGGGTTTTGCGTACGAGGCGGGCGTGCAAGGCATCTCATCCCGGGATATGAGCATGGTCTTCTGGAAATGTCTCGTGTATTTTCGTTCATCTGGAGATGGGTCAGGGTCGGGGCCAGCCCTCCAAACCCTGTCGCATAGCGGAAACCCAGAAGCTTTCGGGGGAGCGCACCCGGTAGACTCCAGGTTGGCACCGACCACGACCATCCGTTACCTGCTTTCCAGGGCCCAGTCTAGGTCGTTTATGGGTAGCGCGGACGGGGTCTCGCTGGACTCCCACAGGCGTATCCGTAAGCCGTTGGATATCAGCCTCATCGTCGACGTGGTCTCTTTCTACGGATACCGACCTCCTCATCGAGCGACCCTGTACGGCGTAGCCCATGCACCATGCTTTTTCGTCTCAGCCGCTCGCAGCAATTCGTCCCCGGGAGCTTCGAGAACAAACCACA